GAGCTTGCTGTAAAGGAGGAGATAGGACTGGAGTCGGGACAGTGGATGGTTGTGGTTGTGGCGGTGGCGGTGGTGGCTGCTGCTGGACAGGTGCAGCAGTAGGCTGGAGAGGAGCGGGCAGCGGCCCGTCGAGCAGAGAGGACAAGTCCTTTGTCGCCCCCGTAGGAGGCTTCGGCGCTGGGGATGGGGTGGCAGCGGCTGGGGCAGGTTGTGAAGCGGCCGCCGTCTGGCTCGGTGCCTTGACCGTCCAAGCATCATCATCGAAACCACTCTTGACGGGCTCCCTCGGCGGCGCCTGTGTAAGAGGCGTCGCTCTTGCGTCCGGAGGTGGCCTCTTTTCTTCCTCCTTCGACGCAAAGGCGTCTGCATCGACAACATCGCTGGTCGAACGTGTCGCCTCCGGTCTACCTCTGCGTGTATTGTTATGTAGAGTTCCACCTGGTCCCGAGAAGAGACCCCCTTGCGCTGATTCTCCGTTGGTGCCATTGGTCATCGGGGCACGCGTTCGTGCAAATTTCTGGTCCAAAAATTTCATGACTTTGAGTATATCGCCCTCCTTGAAACCTAGGGTCCGCAGAGTTTCGGGTGTGATGTCAGGAAGCACACTTTCATCCATCGAGTCTCGAATCATGGCTTGCGCATATCTTTCGCATTGATGAGGGCCAACGCCAGCGGTGAGGAAGAAATCAAACCAGTCGTACTCGGGGGCCTTCGGTTGCTCTGTTGCGCGGGCCCCAATGCTGGCGCCGGTCCGAGAGGTGGGTTGTTCTTGATTTCGATGTCTCATCTTAATCAAATCAGCCACAGGAATGTGCTCTTCGATCGGTTCGTGTATTACCTGCTCAACATATGCAAGGTCTTCAGGTGACATCTTCGTTACGGGAACAGCAATCTTGACACCATTGACCTTGTGCAAATGAATCTTGCCATCTGTCACTCTCAAGAACTCTGCTTCAACTTTGAATGTCCCCGAATGGTCCGTCCACGTTCTGACTTTCTCGGGATCTGGCTTCGACCGACTCTTCTTCCGTTCGTCCTTCTCTCTTCGGTCTCGTCGTCGGGGTGGTTCATCGGCGAGACTGCTGCCGCGCTGGGGAATGTCACTGCGAGACCTTGCGAGCTCTGCTTCTTGACGGGCTCTGTCAGCTCTGGCTGCCTCTTTTGCGAGCCGTTCTTCTTCAAGTCGGTTCTGATCAACCACGGACAAACCAGCATTTGCGCCAGAACGCGAAGGCGGCTCTATCGTCACAAACCCAGTAATCTCAATGTAGCTGCTGGGAACGACACCTTCTTTGCCGTTTTTCAGGCGTCTGACGTTCCACCACTCTTCGGATTTCGCGTCGTCCAGGATGATAACCTCATCTCCCACACCAACTGTGACTTCGTCATCACCCTGAGCCGGGAAATCGTAGAGAACCTTTCCCTTCTTATGTGTTGCGCCCCCACTAGCGGCAGTCATGACTTCCCGTAAACCTTCAGCCCGTTGAGCGCCTGCAATCTCTCCCAGCGCTGACACGATTTCTTCTGCGGTATCCTTTGCACCTGCGTGCAGGTCCAAACTTTTGCTCGGCTTGACCAGTTCAATAAAGACATGTTTGCCCTCGATAGAATAGTGCGTCATCTTATCTGCAGTCCATTCCTGTGATGGCCCATCTCTTGACTTTTCCGGAGCGAGCATGATCGTACCCGTTGCGATATTTATTCCCAAAGTTGTTGGCATCTTCCTCCGCCTGCCCATGGCAGAGACCATTTCACTGATATTGTACAGGTGAAAGCCGCCAGCCGATCGAACGGGAGCCTCCTCGTCCTCCGGCTGTGGAATAGCTCGGTTGTATGGGGGAGAAGGAAGTGGGCCTTGAGATACTTCGTTCGACGTAGGTCGTCGTGGGAGGGCGGGCGCGGGCTCTTCTTCGTCTGAGGCATCTGGAGTGAACTGTTGACGCGGTATTGTAGGAGGGGGAGACGATATTGTTCGAGCTGCAGTTGGGGAAGTCGGAACTCCGCCTCCCAAGACGCGGGCTAAGTTGGCGGCAGGACTGTGCACAGATCTTGCCGGAGAGACCGGGCTTGCAGGCGCTTCTGGCTCAGCTACCGCAGGATTCGAGTAGCCTCTTGATCGTACAGAGGGAGATCGCGGAGGGGCCGGGGGAGCAGCAGAGGCCGAGCTTGATATCTCAATGTAGTTTGCTGGCGCAAATCCATAATCATCACCCACGCCGACCAAGGTCCAATCGGGATCCGAGGTATCATAGACGTTTAATGCAGTGTCCTCAGCAAAAGAGACTTCCTCGTCGGTCTGGCGAGTGTAGTCATAGAGTGCTTTGGCAGTATGGGATGGCTTTGCGTCTTCAACATAGTTGTTTGGTATCAGACCCTCGGGTTCGTCGTCATCATCTCCAGCGGCCTTTTTCTTTGCTCTCCACCAGTCATCCTCGCTGCTCTTCTCAAGAATATATAACAATTCCCCCTCTTTAATCTCTAACTCGCCAGAGCTCTGCGGGTGATAGTCGTAGATGGCGGTGCATATTGCAACGAAGCCCATAATGGGGACTGAGGCGGAATTGATAGGCAGGGAGCAGCAACAGTGGTCAGAGGGATTGGGTGGAGGAAAATGCCATCAATGTGAGGTCGGGCGACTCGGAGAGACTGGAAGGGAAATTGAGGTAGCGCAATTTGAGGGTTTCACCTCGACGGCTAAGCGAAGAGTAAGATGGCCTGCTAGGCGAGGACGAGTGGGAGTGAGGATGAAGACGATGGTTGACGCTGTTTGAAGCCGAGACCTTGTTGAGAATTTGGCTGTATTCAGTTCTGGAGGTCGTCAACGTACAGCAGCTATCACGCTTACAGAAGACAAACAGAGGAACAAGCGGATGATATGGCAGGATCACAAGTTGAAGTTGGAGTTGCTCGAGATGTGCTCGCAGTTGGAACCGGTTCCAGGAACCTCCCCGGCGCAACTGGATGCCAAGAAGGGGCCCACGAGTTGCATCTCTCGTCGCTATCACCACCACTACGAGTTGCTACTATTCCCATCTGGCCATCCTCCACCATCACCGGCACAGGGCATCCAGAAATGCTTACATCAACCTGCATGATGAGGGAAGCTCTCCACGTATCACGGCTACCCTTCTTAGAAGTCTTTCGGCCCGGTTTTGCCATGCACTTCTCATGCCACGTCAAAAGTTTACCAAGTCCATGGTTCCGAAGCTATTAGCTTTCGATTGGTGGTGGACGCAGGCTACATCAGGACGATATTGGCTCATTTGCATCCCGATCCAATTCACTTTAACCGTCTGCAGCATATTCTTCCTTGCTGCCGGTGTCTTCTTCGTTGTCTTCCGACGGAGGAGTGCTTTCTTCCTGCTCCTCGCTCTCCTCATCTTCGTCTGTAGCTACAACGCCCCTTAATTGTATATGTCCGTTGATGTCGTCCAGTCGCTCAATCTTCCAGTCCTTTGAGCCAGCCAACTTCTGTAGCTCCTTGCGGAACGCATCAATGTCCTCCTGGCTCAGATCGAGCTTGTCGAGCTCCGCCTTGGACATGCCAGAGATCTGTCCCTTCTTCTGCATGATGACGGTCTCGGCCTTTTCGTCCTTGGTCAGGACAATACGCCCCCTCTCAAGCCTCTTGCCCTCACGACCGACAAGTTTCATTGCACCCACTTCCACATTACCCAGCATGATCTGTTGTGGCTGCCCTTGGCCGACTTGGCGAGAGCCCTCCTCTTCGTGACGCGCTTCCCATGCTTCCACATCATCTTCTGAGATGATCTCCCGGCAAGTGATCGGATGTGCTCGACTCTCCTTTGGCGGCTGGAACGCGACATCGTTGCATAGTCGCGGCGTGTAGATGATCATGAGATAGGCGCAGGTGGCAGTCTCCTTGATCCAACCAATTCGGTCGGTTAGTTGGGGGTTACAATGAAATTGAACCTCGATCTTGCGATTGTTGCCTGTGATATCGCAGGGTGTCCCTCCGTCGAGGCGCTGCACTAGATAGTTCGTCTCGGCCTTTGACTTTACTTCCGTCGAGAGGGCCTTGTCGGAACCAGGCTGTGCTTTTGAACCCGCCTGTTTCGGAGATTCAAACTTGCCTAAGACGTAGCTTGGAGTAGTAGGGTCTTCTTGCGGTGGCCATATCCGCCCATTGGTGCCTGGCGGCAGCGCATGAAATTGAGTTACCTGAGCGTTGTAGCAGAAGGAATATGTCCACCAGCCGGTGGAGTAGTATAGACACTGATTTGAAGCCATGCCCTGTAAAAGCTGTGATGCCCGTGTAACGGCTTGGTCCAACTCCTTTTCGCGATCCACCGCCGACGGTTCGGTCGTTGTCCGATTGTCGAGGGTGTCTTTTGCTTCTGGAATGAAGCACAGATGTGGATACCCATGCAGGAGGAGGCATTCGTAAGAACCCAGTTGGGTCAAGTCCTCTGATATGGAGTCGGCATCCGTCTCCGAGTTAATATCGGCTGATACATCCTTCAGGTGTATCTGCGACGATCTTGAATTGCTGGAGGGGGCTTCGTTCCGCCGTCGGTCTAAAACGCTCGCGGCATCTGTGTCGAGTATGTAGGTTTTCGCAAATTCGATGCTATACTGTGGCAGTCGTCAGTGCCGAAGCGTTGCCTGCCCGAAAAGGAGGAGGGGTACCTGAGGAAAGGCAAACAGATCATCATTGACGCTAAAGGTCGTTTCGCTTGCCCAACAGACACGTAGTACGGAAGAAAGCACGAGACACGCTCGAAGGCCAGAAGAACTCCTCATCACGATTTAATTTCCTCAATTACATGACGGACATTTAGGCAATGGTTCTGGCCCAAGTCGCGAGGAAAACAACACGTCGCAAAAAGTGCTTCGCCGCAGCCCATCAGTGACATACGCCAAGCCATGGTGCATTCTAGACCAGGCACGCCAAACAAGGGTTTCGACCCTGTATGTTTTCCTCTGATATAACAGTACATAATCTTTCATCCAACCATTTTAAAGTAACTCTCGTAAACATGGCTGAGGAATCCTCGTCGACCTTCTCCCTCGCCGGTAAAGGCTTGAAAATCGACACCAAAGAAGACCTCGAAAAACACATCAATGCACTCACATCGTCCCCCTCGGTCACCCACATCGATCTCTCTGGGAATACGTTAGGTGTCGCTGCTTGTGCCGCGCTGGCACCCATTTTGGCCTCAAAATCGACCCTCCAAAGCGCTGATCTACACGATATCTTCACGTCGCGTCTCCTCGACGAGATCCCCCCAGCATTATCCTCTCTTCTTACCGCCTTACTGGAGTGTCCCAATCTCCACACAATAGATCTAAGTGATAACGCCTTCGGTCTCAACACAAAAGATCCTCTCGTCGATTTCCTATCCAAACACACCCCGCTAAAGCACCTGGTTCTAAACAACAATGGCATGGGTCCCGAAGCAGGCGCTGCCATCGCCGAAGCGCTCATCAAACTTGCGGAGCGGAAAGAGGCGGCCAGGAAAGAGGGGAAGAATGTGCCATACCTGGAAAGTATTGTATGCGGTCGCAATAGGTTAGAGAATGGGAGCATGCCTGCATGGGCAAGAGCGTATCAGGCACACAAAGCTGGAATCAAGAGCGTGAAAATGACACAAAATGGTATCCGACCGGAGGGTATTTCCCACCTAATTTCATCTGGTCTGTCAAAATGCGAAAATCTCGAGGTTTTGGACATGCAGGACAATACCTTCACGCTTAAAGGTGCACAAGCTCTCGCAGAGGCGCTAGGTGGTTGGTCAAATCTCAAAGAACTGGGTGTCGGCGACGACCTGTTGGGCGCTCGTGGTGCAGTCAAAGTTTTCGAGGCTTTCTCTGGAGGCAACAGCGAGAATGTGGAAATCCTCAGATTACAGTACAACGACATCACGCCAGCGGGTGTGAAGTCGCTACTGAGAGCTGCCAAACACGATCTTCCCAAACTACGGCGGGTGGAACTGAACGGGAACAAGTTTGAGGAGGAGGACCCCTCAATTGAGGAGCTGGCAGCACTGTTGAGCGACAGAAAAGATGAATTGGGTAAGAACGAGGATCCAGAGGACCATTGGGGACTGGACGACCTAGATGAACTAGAAGGAGAGGAGGAGGAAGACGAAGAAGAGGAAGAAGAGGAAGAGGAAGAGGAAGAGCTGGCAGAGAGAATCGTCAAGGAGGCTGAGGAAGCCGAGGAGGAGAAGGTGGCTGAGGAGAAGGATAAAGAAGTCGATGAATTGGCTAAAGCTTTGGAAAAGACTCACGTATGAACAACAGGCAGTGCAGACTTGCGGCGCACGGTTGAGCATTGTTCAAGACACTGAGGATCACATTTTTTGGCAGAACATAGCGTAGCAGAGAAAGATACCCCAATAGACACGAGTGTCAGTCTTTGAGGAAGCTAAGCATTTCCTCCATTCGGGCTGGATCTTCTTGCAATATCCACTTCTCACTCGCGTGCCGGGTGTATATCTATGGCGACAAAGTCCGCAAGGTTCGAGGCGCGTTGCATTCAATTAATCAATCCTAGAAAGGGGTGCATTGATTGGCGAGCGAATACGTGTTCCTCCTTTGTAGCAAAAAACGACTTCCTTTTGAATATCACTTGGCCAGTCATATATCAGAATGTCGTATCGACGTCGGGTCGGGGTCGAGGGTATGCGCCTCCTGCGTAAGGTTGCCCTGGTGGCCGAGTGCCTCAAGCACAAGCTGACAGAGGCAGTAATGCTAGATGAGTGTTGAATTCAGCCAACTGACATTGTGGCGATCGTCCCACAGCTGCTTATTGAGGCGAAGAGAATCGGTGCAATGCCAGGTTCTATTGACGCCCCTCGAGGTAGGGCGATTTGCAACGTCCACATCTCATAGAACAACAGATTTAGCTGCCATATATCTGCAACAGTCGGTCCTCGGCACCATCGAGAATGCTCCAATGATCCAGAACCTCCAGATTCTCTGCCTCAGCCTGGAACATCTTATGAGGTTCTTGACCCGGGCCAAATGGATTGGCATTTGCACCTGGATTCATTTGGGCCATCTGCTGCGCCATCTGGCTGGCTGCGTTCTCATTGCCGAGAATGAAGATGAAAACACTTTGGAGTCCAAAAAGGCACAAAAAGTACCACGACAAGCTGGACACCCATCTGACATCCAGGTCTCGGGTCATAACACCAGACTGCAGCATAGATTTGAATCTAATGGTGAGCGGAAAGGGCAGTTTGAGGATGACGAAGCCGGCAAAGAATGCGTTAATCCAGGACATGATCAGTGTCTGTGGAATCATCATGGCCATGTTTCCCTTCATCATTCCCATCATACCCTCCATAGCCGCGGGGTCGGACATTGGGTTCGCTGCGCCTTGATCCTTGGATTCCGGACCACCTTTCAAAAAGGTCCCTTTGTGGTAGCCATCAACAAGATATTCTTTCCGGCGGTTGAATGAAGGTGTTGTCAGCGCGGCAGCAGCGTTATTTCGCAAGTTGACTCCACGAAGAAGCGCTTGTCGTTCGCGGGACTCGAGAAGGCTGTTCGGCGGTTTTGGGGGAGTTTGCAGTAGGACTGAGGCGTAGTGTCGTAGGACTCCGGTCAATATCATCACAATCGTGATGGGCAGCAAGATCCAGTAGCTTTTCAATAAGTCAGTAGGGAACAGATATTGTAGCAGACAACGGCAACTCACAACAGAGCGGGATCACGATGGATCATTTGCTCCGCTCCTTCCACAGCCATCTTGTAGTCGACCGTTAGTCTGCTGAGAATTGAGAATAGATGCACAGACTGCTTGATATTGGACTGTGGGAGTGCTACAGACAATTGCTCAGGAATTGTCGTTGAATGGGCGAGTTTGGTCGGGAAACCTGCCTAGTCCTTCAAATAGTGGCCGTGTGGAGTTATTCCGTCCAAAACATGTCTATCTTGACTTCATGTTTCTACCACCATGTCCTCCAGGAGATAAATGATGGGCATACGGAGATGAAGAAGATTTGGCCGTGGCGCCCTACACATTGTCAAGATGTAGTGATAACGCGGTGTATATCGACACAACAACAATGGTTATATCGCAGGGTTAGCCAGACTGACAACAGACTTGCGCGGTAAGGGTGGGAATGCAGTATTCCATAACAGCAATTCTCATTCTGTCTCTTAGTTAAGACGGCGCCTTCTCTGGACGCGAAGCAAGCTTGTCATTCAGATGACACCGAACGCCCCTGTCAATGCTAAACCCCCTATCCTCCAGTTGTGCGCGGCACCTTTGTCATATCCCAAACTCCTTCTCAGCCTTGTCCTCGCCTTCAGCCCTCAGCCTTGTCAACTAGCTCCCATTCCGCCAACTCACAGTCGGCGCACACCTTCGTCATGGCCAGCTCCTTGTATTTTGAGACCCTGATCATGGTAGGACATTTGGGCTTTTCTACCCAGCTCACTGCCCATAGTCCGCTGCATTTCCGAAAATTGTCGCATATGTACAGAATGATGCCTTCCAATTTGTAGCCATCATCAGTTTGCTTTTCGTTGATTGATGAAAGAATGGCTGTCGCATCGGCGGGAGCTTCGTCAACGCTTTGGACGTTGCTGCGGAAGGTGAGAACGCCGCGACCGTTAGGAGATGGGTTTGGTGCGCGAGGGAAGACTTTGGTGGTCATCATGCTGTCCCGTTTGACGTTAGAAATTGCGATGTGTTTGGATGCGAAGGCTCTCGATCTGGGGCGCTGAGGAATCTTTGTCGACACCAGCTAGAGTGCTTGTCGTGGCTTGTAGCAGTAGGGTTGTCTGTGGTTTGAGGTAGTAGAGCGACGTGCTTGCTTGTTTGTTTGCTTGATCAGACAAGATTCTGGGTATCAAAAGGAATTTGAAAATGAAACAAGAGACGGGGGATTGTGTGCAGAAACATCGAGTCGTGAACAGTGAAGATGAAGCGGAAAAGCAGCGTGATATCCTTGGCTTATCACAATGTATGGTATTCGTTTGGCAGAGACTGGCAGCCGATGCACAAAGCTGTAGTTTGATGCATCATCTGTTTCCATGTTCAATAAGCCTCGCTCCCCAGCCTTGCGCGAGGGCGACAAGAGACCTTCTGGAAGGCCCTGAATCTCTCACGGTCGGACAAGCTCAGTATCCATGTGTGCGTCTCTGTGTTCGATCGCGGCACAGCCGAAGTGGTTGATAATACTCCATTCCTCATTCGCATCACTTTCCTCGATCACATCCCACGATAGGTCCTTTGCCAAAGTTTGTTCTTCCTCAGCAGGTGCCCCTAGAGGGATGTCCTCGAATCCGGCAGTGGACATCATCCTACTTGTGTCTTCCCTGGTTTCAGACCGTCGCTTCTCATATTTGTCACACTGTGTCTCCGCTTGCTGTTTCCCCATCTGATGTCCCTCTTCCACGCTCCTCTGTTTGTTGAACGCCTCTCTACACACACGACACAGCCTCGGGATGGCTATCTTCTTGTATGAATGCAGGGTCATGGACCTCCAGACTCTCTTGCGTGGTTGTGGACTCCATTGCATCGCCCAGAGAAAGCCACAATCCTCGTAGTAGCAATAATAGTATTCGATGCCGTCAGCTGGTTGGCCAGTGAGCCTAAATGGCGGTTTTGCAAGCATGGCAACGTACAGTGGCGACTGCTCGATCGTGAGAGAACCGTCCGCCATGTCACCAGCCAGCATTTTTTAGTTGGCTTGAACTAAAATAGAACGGTTTGGTGCCATGATAACAAGGTATGATAATGTAGTGTCGGCCGTTATTGAAATGCAAAGGGATGATTTTGAGGTATGATTTCCTGACGCCCCGAGTTTCCAGTCGATCGTGAATTTGATAAAGCCCAACTTGGGTAGGAATTAAGCCTGTAGGATGGGAAGATATTGCAACCAACAGATGGGCTATAGTAGACTCTGTGGTAGCTTCTGTGGTAGAATTTATGAACGCGTGCTGTAGAGGAGTCTTGCGCCGCCGAGTTTGATCTGCCTAATCATCAGGAGTGTGAGGACATCAGCGTGTGGTGCAGTGAAATAAGAGCGCCCCGGGTTCTGAGGACCCGTTTGGGTTCCGTCAAAAAAATGGTTCCGAAATTTTCTCCCAAAGTTCATAAATGTTGTCTCGGCGATGGTAACTGGATACCGTTGGTTAAGGATCCATTCTGCCCGACCAAAACGTCCCTGTAAGCTTTTTATCATGAAGCCACAAACCCATGAATGTGCAAACAGGTCCAGGAGCAAACGCTTCAACACCAAAACAAACAAAACGAAGCCATTCGGCGACCAAAAGCCCATTCCCTGCATCCCATGTGTGGCTCCTGCTGTCCGTTCCTCCGGATCTTCGTTGAAAGCAGTTCTTCGGAGAGACGAGTGCAACGAGTGCCACGCGATTCAGATCCTCCGCAATGCCGTTTCAGGGGCTCATGCGTGCCGGATTGTTACAATTTGCTCCACAAGTTTGAACAACAGTCTGCTTATGGGACACTGCACGCCCGTTGTCCCGATGCCAACCCGAATTCATATTCGATGTTTTGTCTCTTCTTCGTGGAGCCAACAAAGAGTGTGATGGTCAAGGTTTGAATAGCCTGTGTGCTCCAAACGTGAAGAACGGTGACACAAACAGATGGAGAAGAGCCCTTTTGCGCCGACGAGTGTCATACGCCATATTGTGGATTCCTTGTTTGTAGTGACTGACTCTCGTGTGAACAATCTGATGAACATTGGCACATGCTTGTAAAGTGATAGCAGCTGTGTCAGGGGTGCTGTCTTGTCACTGATTTCTCTGCAGGATATCACCAACAGCTATTCACCAAGGCCCTGTGACAATTGGGCGGGTTAGCAATGGCCCGAGCAGGTGTGCGGAGTGACAAGTATATCACTCAGCCTTTCAAGAGCGAATAGCACCGAACATAGCCGTTGAGGTTTGTATCACTCCCGCCAGTTGCGACAAACTCCGAGCAACGCCAATGTTAATACAGAGCAAACAAATTCTCTGTCAAAGTGCATTATTTCATCCCCTCGAACTCACTCTTTTCTTCCTGACTCGTCATAAATAGAAAACATCTCTGTTATCATCGACAAAGTAGCAACCGTGAGCTCCAGCAAGAACCAAACATCACTTCCCCAACAACAAGAAAGCGATTGCTCTGAATCAAAATGGCAGATATCGACCTCGGCATCATCATGGACTACGGACGCGGCGGCTATGACACCACTGTAGTCCCACCGTCCTCGGGATCAGGATCAGGTTCCACTAAATGAGTCGGCACCCAGCTTGTTATGGTCTCAAACAGTGAAATCCATGGTAGCAGGGAATCCTCGACGATGCAGCAAGTCAACCAAGGAACATGGCACGTCCGTTATGCCCAAGTCGCCAACAAATACCACCGGTGTCGACATGAGCTTCGAATCACATAACGACTTCGAGTGGTGATAATGTGTTGCTGGGTTGAGTTGCGCGTGGAATATGTGGATATGAGCTCTGTTTGCTCGCGGAGACCAATAAGCAACATTTTCTTGTGAGCCAGGGCAGCTTCTCCAGAGGATTCATCCATAGAGAACCATAGATGAGCCTTAAAGCCATAGGGGCTGTCCAGCACTTCACAAGCACAATCAAAGAATTGTATTCGGAACTCAGCTCCTTAAAATTCAACCTGGAAGGGCTTCAGCTAGAGCGGTATTTTCGCTAGTACCACGTATGTACTAGCAGATTTCGATCAGGCGAGAGATTCCGTGAAAAAAGATAGCTTCTGCTCTGTCATCTGGGGTCATCGTTTTGCAGCGCCCGGAACCCATACCCCAGGAGCCCAGTTTGCTCCGGGATTTGAGGCTGTAGCTCCTGATTTTTTGCGCTGGTTCGTACTGTCCTCAATACTATTGCTCATCTTTCCCGATTGCTGTGAGTGGTCGGGGTGATGTCCTGCTTGAGCTCGAGGATCACCAGACAACAGGGGAGTGTTGACCATTGGCTTCGGCTCCTCAATGTATTTTGCCTTTGCGGCCCATCTTTCATCGGCCAGCCGAGCATTGATCTTCAGTTGAGCCTGTCTCTGTACATCGGCGGCTTGTTCTTGCATGGTTGGAGGATCGTTTCGCGTTTGGCGCAGCCATTGATGCCATTGAGGTGAGATTTGCACATCTGAAAGGGAGGACAGAGTGGCTCGGCGTCGCCCCTGCACAATACGTCGCCATCGATTGTGGTTGAGAGCATCTTTAAACTCCCAAAAGGTGTTGCCGTAGAGGTCTTGTCCTGTCCTAATGTCAGTCTGTTTCCACTGCTTAGGACCTTCGGCTCTTTCAATTGCGCATACCAACTAGGAATCTCTTCCTCCATGGGAAGCGAAGCATCTTCCATCGCAGCCAAAGATCTCTAAATCCTCCCATTGTGATGACAGTGGGTCGATAGAGGGCGGAAAGTGTACTTCGGGTTGAAATAAAGAAAGGGCCCGACGTATTGAACGGGAGGCTGCATATATGTGGCACAATTATTTCTTGGGATCGACGTCAACCTGCAGCAAGGCCCCCATAGGCCGTTCTTCTTCGTCTTCATACTCCACAGGATCTACTTAGTACATAGCCCTCCTCTAATCGCCCTCTGCCTGCGCGGCCACTGTCGGGTCTCTCGGGCCTAGCATTCTCACTTGGATACATTACAGTCTATTCAACAGATTCATTGATCTCAAGTTCAGGCGCAAACTAGGAACATTGCCAACGCCTACAACAATGGCGTCGGTCACCAGTCTCGATCAAGACATGCGCAAATTGCGCCTAGAGCGATATACCCCCGGCGCCGCAAAGGAGGTCAGAAACTGGATTGAAAGCACTCTCGGCGAGAGACTGGCTACAGGCGACTTGATGGACGCTCTGCGCGATGGAGTAGCTCTTTGCAAGTATGTGATATCCGTTGACCATGCGGCTACAATGCTGACCTGAAACCGCAGACTCGTCAATCTAGCCGTGTCCCCAGGCATCAAGTATAAACAGTCGAGTATGCCCTTCGTGCAAATGGAGAATATCTCTCACTTCCTCCGTGCTTGCGAGCTTCCGCCGTTGAGCCTCCCTTCGCATGACCGATTCCTCACCGTGGACCTCTACGACGCCAAAGATCCCGCACAAGTCTTACAATGTATCGCTGCCTTTAGTCGCAAAGCAAATCAACTTAATCCTTCTGCCTTTCCTACAACCCTGGGAGCGAAGAGCAAATCTGCCATGAGTCCGCAGGGAACTGGGTCCAGTGGGCCAAGATCTCCAGCATACACCACTACTACAAGTTCGCGGCCGCGGGGTTTGAGTAATTCAACTGCGGACAACCCCTCTCTCACATTCAATCCCCTCAACAAGGCTGCATATTCTGGGCGTGTTAGCCCCAGCAAGAACATTCTCAGCCGAGGAGGGTTGGCTTCTGGCGGTACAGTCAGCAGTTGGAGCAACAAGACTGACGAGACCAAGACCGCGCCCGCGTGGAATATTCATCAATATGGGTACATGGGAGGGGCAAGTCAAGGAAACCAAGGCGTTGCTTTCGGTGCTCGGAGACAGATTACATCCCCAGCGCCCAGCGTGCCTAGCATTGCGGAGAAAGAGAAACGTCTCAGAGAAGAGGCTGAGAAAAGGCAATTAGAGGCAGAAGAGCTTGAGCGACAGCAGCGCGCTCAACGGGCTGCAGAAGAAGAGCAGGCACGTCTAGAAGAAGAACGTAGGTGGGCTCAAGAAACGCAACGACTGAAAGAGCAAGAAGCGGCCGAGCGGCGTGAGCTCGAGCGACAACGCCTACAAGAAGAAGAGCGTGTCCGTCGTGAAGAACAGCGTCGCAAAGAATTGGCCTATGAACGTGACCGGGAACGAGAGGCTCAGGATCAAGCAGAAAGAGAGGCTCTTATGGCGCAGGAACGAAGTCGCCAACGCACCGTCAGTGACGCTCGTCTCAACGGACAATTTCTCAGTCAGTACCAAGCAGGCCAGGTGAGAAGCAATGTTGCCTCTCCCCCTCTGTCAAAGCCCGCCGCAGATCAGGACTCGGCAGAAAGTAGACGCATTGCAGAACTAGAGCGTCAATTGGAGGAAATGAAGGCTCAACAGAGACAAACCCAATCCGCCAGGCCACTACCCGAGCCCGAACCTCCAGCGCCAACACCGCCAACCAGATCCGCTGTCGGTCAAACAAGCAGCCATGAGGATGACTGGGCTGCATCAGAGCGTCAGTATCTCCAGCAAGAATGGCAGAAAACGCAGAACGACCAACCGCCTCCCAAACCACGACGTCCCGAACCCACACAATCAACATCGTCTCGTCCGTTACCCGACCCAGCCACCTATCAGCCAGGCACTAATCGCACAGACCGATACCTTGCCTCAAACACGGCTCCCGCTCAGCCCAATGTTGCGGCTCACCGCCCTCAAGACTTTTCCACCACGACCGAAGTGGACCTCGAAAACCAACGCCGTATTCAGTCCCAGCAGCGCACGAAAGCCGGCGGCTGGGCCTCGAAATCGCTCCTCGAACGAGAAATGGAGCGGGAGCGAGAACGGCAGAGAGAGTGGGAAGAAGCGCAGAAGGACACCGCTTCAAGAGCCAGGGACATAAAAGAGGGAAGCGGACCTGGTCAAACCTGGGATGTCCACCAATATGGATTTGTGGGCGGGGACAGCCAGAATCGTGGAGGTCCGGGGCTAGGAGTCGGGGGCGCCAGAAGGCAGATCATCGGCCCAAGACCGCCGCCCTAGGTGCAACACAATGCCACGTTTAACACAATTCATGTGGGTGTGGGGAGGTGAGTGTGGACGGTGTGAGTCAAAACGGTTGCGGTGTTTGACGAACATGAGCTTCGACTGTACCGTAGCGGGCGTTATGAGATACGTGTGACGAGCGATACAAGCGGATTGGCTTCCTGGCGAGAACTGACAAGTAGAATTCCGCTCAAAAGGTTCTTCATTGGACTACTGGGTAGACAGTACGCTGGACAGCTTTCGTGTGACGCCATTCCAACAATTGCCACGAGTTGCGCCTCAGACTCTATCTCGTCCCTACAGCGCTGAACCCTCTATCGCTTTCTGGATTCTCTCCCCACTTTCTACCAACCACTCCCACGCAACAGCCTCGTCTCCTTGCCTCTTCTTGCTACCTGCCTTTTTCTCTACCGAATCCGCGACACGGCTGATCCTCCTTTCCACGCCAGCCCTGGCCGCCTGAACCAATCTTTTCGTCTTCTTCAGCTCCCCCGCCCGCACAAGACATCTCGTCAAACTCTCCAATAAGAGACTGATTCTCGCGTTTGCATCGATACTGTTCTTTGACGCAGCAAAGGGGAGATATTCTTGCTCCAGCTTCCTCCCGGAGAGCAAGACATGGCTCTTGTATCTAGGGGCGGAGGTTTCGAGGAGCTGTTGAAGAAGCCTTTCGCACACATTCGTCAACGATGGCAGTTCTAGGGGATTTGAAGGATGGGGAAGGACAATCTGTGCGAAGGCAGGGACAGGGAGAGGGCGAATAAATTCCACGTAATTGGTATAGAGGTCTTCCAGGTCGGGAAAGGTCGTCGGGGAGGTCGCCATCAGAGTCTGGTGAGAGGAGATGTGGATGAGCAGCTTTAACAGCCGGAGACGGAGAGAGATGCAAGAAGGGCCACCGAGTTTCGTGGACAGGGAGGTTGAGGAGCCCTCCCCATCTGTGGTATACCCGCTGTGTAAACTGCCACCACTAGTCTTTGGCGTGACTCCCTTCGACGAAGGTGTCTGGATCCGTTTGCGTGCACGCTTTGGTGGTCGTCCACTTGCTCCCGTGCCAGTGCTTGCCACGTCGTCGTCGTCATCGTCGTCGCCGTCTTCTAAAATATCCAAGTCGTCCTGGCCCAAATAGTCGCCATAGATATCCTGGTCAATATTGACATCGACTTCTCGCTTCTTGAGATTCACATCTTCCCGCGCGGGTTCTTTCATTTCATTGGGGAATACCTCACGGAACTCGCTAAGGGAGCGCGGACTCCCATCGGCAAAAATGGCTCGCAGGATCCGTCTTGCGCGTCCATGTCCACCCCCTGAGAGTTCGATGTACTGCCAGAGCAAGGCTTCATCGACAGTTGTATCCCCTGACGTGGATCGGATGTACCAGTCTTCTTCTAGCACATCAATCAGGAACCCAAGCAGAAGCTGGTAATGATTCCATCGCGTCGCATAAATTCCGGGGTGGCATGCACAGTTGAATGCCCAACCCACAAGTTCCCAGAAGTCTTCGGCTCGTGCCCAAAGGCTCTGTGAGCGGGCATAGGGAGTATTCAGATCACTTGTGCCAGCTGGTCTATCGCCTTCGCCGCCCCCACCATCGTACTCATCATCGTCAAACGGATGGTCACTGCGGCGATTGACTCGAAAGTCGAATTTACGGAACGAAAAGGCGGTGTTGAAGTCAGCATTGACAGGTCCGACGAGATTTTGGATTAGCCTAAGCAGACGAAGAGCGGCATTGGCTTGGTTCCACTTCTCGCGCGAATTGGTTCTGGATGTAGTAGTGGGGTGGACTGCTAGTGTGGCAGCAAGGGCGATTTGAGCAGGTGGTGGAATTATGGCCGGCGCGAGACGAGCGAGGGGGGACGCGCTGTTGCCGATTATCGACAGGAGGAAGCTGAAGGCTTGGGTAAATAGCCCTTCTTCAAAGTAGGTCTGTACTTGCTGCACTAGCTCAAAAGGAAGTTCTTTTGCTGGCCGGTATTGTCTAGGTTCTCTGGACATGGTTTGGTTTGCAGGTGAGGACAAGGGTGAAGAAGGGCCAGGAAGCGCCATCTCTCGATTGCACAGAAATTCGAGGGTATATATGGCGGACTACTTGAGGCTTTTAAGTACAAATGCTTGAGTGAGTCTGGAAATGTCTAATCATGACCGAGCTTGCCTTGATGAAGAAGTGAAGTTTATCAGCCTCACGCAGCCTTGTGTGCACAGCCTTGTTTGGTGCTGATTGAGGATTAGCGTGGAATTTCTGAAAATCGATGTTCAGCCTCGACGCGTGTTTTGTCTCATGCTCGCATCAGCCACCATGCACACGAGCCCGTCTTACATCGAAGCGCTCCAGCTTCTCAACGCTCGACAATCTTTCAGTGGCACAACCATTATATAGGGAACGATTCCGGGAGACTTCTCATCCTCAGTTCAACACCGCAATGGGTATCGTATCCCACCTCCTGTTACGCCCCGAGCCGATTAGGTTGGAAGGCTACATGTACCATTTAAAACATCGTGCATGCAATACAGACTTGGACTAACGCTCATCCCGAGAATACAGGTCTCCTCCACGCTTTGTTCCCGAAATGCATCGTTTTCCTTCATGTTCCGAGTCGCTTCCTTAGATCCTCCTTCGCTTCCCTGCACATTTCTTCAACATCCACATTTGCAATGACTCCATTTCTCTCCTTAATCTCTTTTTCGATCTTTGCGAAGTCTTTACCTATGCCTGGGGCGCGCCATTCATAGCAATCTCCGATCCATCTACTACTCTGAACGAGCCATTGCCCTCGGTCTTTTCGCCGGGCTGTGAACGTTGCGAATACTGCATCGAGGTCCGACGGTGACTGGACTCGCTCGTCCGAGAGTAAAGAGGCAAGCACAGCGGTATCCTCAATGCACATGCCGGCCCCAGCACCGTGGTGCGGGGACGTCGCGTGAGCCGCATCTCCAGATATGCATATGCGACCTTTATGAAAAGTAGGTACAGGGTTGTCTCCTAGGTCAAAAATTGCCCACTTCCAGACGTATCAGTATTGTTCAACCTTCTTTCTTCGGTGTTCCTGCGACTTACCACGGACAAGTCAGGCTTGGTTAGGTTTAATAGCCGGATAACATTCGACCCATATCCGCTAAAGTCTCTCAAAGCTTCTTCCCTCTTTGCATGTCTCGTTAGTCGCTGGGTGTCTGGCCAGTCGTCAGGGCTCGTCCTGAATGCGACAATGTTCAATGTCTGGCCGTGGTTGACTGGAAACGTCAATACGTGACCATCAGGACCCATCTGTTGTGCCCAGGATGTCAGCAACTGATCAAACAATGTTTGAGGGCTCAACCGGCACACTCACATGCATACAGGAATTTATTGCCAGCTCTTCACCAATTGCTTTGATAGCGCTGTCCATCGGCGCAAGATCTCGATAAGCATACTTGTGAGTGTAGCTCGGTTGTGCACTGGGGTGGTTTTTTCCGACAATGATCTGCCGAACGCGAGACTTGATACCATCACATCCTATCACTGCGTCGGCTTCGGCGGTTGAACCATCCTCGAACTTCATGACCAGCCTCCCGTTGGATTCATTCTCGGTGATGTCGGAGAGCTTCTTGCCAAACCGGGCAATTTCCTTGGGAATTAGTTTGACAATCTCGTCCAGATAATGCGCACGATGGACTCCATTCTGGCCCAAGGAATTCGTGATCGAGAATGCAATCTCCTGCCGCTCTTGGCCCGGATGTGGTCCCGTATGGCCGTCGAGGTAGTCGAACCAGACATACTTTTTCTCAGGCCACACATTGCGTGTACAGACTTTTTCGAAAGCCTCATAGATGCCCTCATGGCATAGCTTCATCGCTTGCACTGCGTTCGGGGAGAATGAAACACCAGCGCCAATTTCGCCAAACTGAGCCGCCTGTTCATATATCGTGACGGGGATCTGGCGATGATAGAGGGCAATGGCAAGAGTCAGGCCTGCAATCCCACCCCCAACAATTGCAATCTCGAAGTTCTTGGATTTAGACATGTCAATTGGTATGTGTTCTCCTGTTTGAAAGTGTTTGCTTATATGGTCGGAAGGGTTCTGCTGAGAACGTTACCTCTCTGTGTTCTCTAACGGCCTCTATATACAGAGGAAACCCCTTGTTCAGAAACACCGGCGTCGGGCAGCCGAAAAGCTTCCGCAAGGCTGAGGTAACACCTCGGATTGTACTGGGATGGGCGTTGGAGCGTACAACAAGTTCTACGAGAACATCATTCGTCATCTCAATCTCCGCATTTTCTCAGGACCGTACGGTCACAACCTGGGGAACATAGCCGGGCCGATTTCCGATGGTTGGGCGAGAGATGTGTGGCGACCGAAATGACTTCCGAAGGGGCCGCTCGTACGAAACTCGCACATTAAGCTTTGGGCTGTCGGAACCTTTTTCTTCCGCACTGATTTCAGCATCTTGGTAAAAGATGGCTCGGTTGTACGGTATGGAGGCTTCGCTGTTTGCACGGTCGGTCCTCGGATTTGAGCCCATTCGAATGAGACTAACAATGAGAAAGCATTCCCGTGAAGCGACAAGCAGGCAAGGCAACGTACACATCATACATGCAAAGAGGCTGGCAGCCGCTGGCGCTGCTGCCCGTTAACCGATGGCCAGACGAATGGACGCACTTTCAGCGGAAGAATAGAAGACGCTGATTACAAGTTGAGGAGATCTTTCCTCCACGTTGCAACAATCTTGACATGGTCATCCCTGTTTCTCACCAGCTCTTCTAGGCCCTTCTCGGCCAACTCCTCGACCGGAAGTCTCCTCGTAATCAGAGCCTCAGCACCAGCGAACTTACCCGCCACAAAATCCTCCACAACTTCCCGGTAATCGTTATCGTTGTTCCCCATGGAGAACTTGGTGGTTAGCTCCCGGAAGAAAGCATGCTGCATCGGAATCTCGAACGGCTGCTTCCAACCGGCGATGTTGAGGTACGTTCCTTTCAGCTTCAAGCTTTCCATGCCCGCGAGCATACCCGCCTTTGCGCCTGCACAGTCAAACACAATATCCACTCCTCTCCCTTGGGTCCTCGCCTTGCATATCTCTGCCACATTTGAGACTGACGGGTCCAAAAGATCGTCCGGAGCAGCCAGTCCCAGTCGTCGAATCATCTCACTTCTCTTTGCCGTGGGCTCGGAGACCAGCACCCTCCCGCTGAGGCCAGTGCCCACCCCTTTTGCGCGCAGATTGAGCAAGACGGCCAACCCCACTGGGCCACCCCCGAGTACAAGCACGTTTAACCCCGTAAAATCTGTGATGCCGCTTGCGGACAGCGCGTGTCGCCCGACCGTCAAGGGCTGACAAAGCACCACGCTATTCAGATCAACACTTCCGTCGTCAGGGAGAGCATGACACATCCTCATTTCAACGTTGACTTTCTCGCTGAAGCCCGCGCCACCGCCTCCGCCGCCATTGAGGCCGATATAACCCCAGTTAGTGCACATATTGTCGCACCCACTCGTGCATGCGGTGCATTTCCGGCAGACAATCCGTGGATCGACCATGATGGGGGTTCCCAGCTTGAAGGGTCCGTTTTCAGGATATCCAGAGGGCAGCGCAGAGACCCGACCACAGAATTCATGACCGAACGTGACGGGGATGTGGTCGTTGGTGATACCGTGAGGTTTATCTGGCGTGTTTATGGTGAGAGGGCCCGATGTGTATTCATGAAGGTCGGTACCGCAAATGCCGCCCCAGTAGACGTCGATGGTCACCTGGAGTGATCAGCGCTGAAAGGGCGGCGGACGCAAGAAGAGTGTACGATATATGGAACTCTACCGGGCTGGCTTACCTCATTAGGGCCTGGAGGTGGTGGATCAGGGATTGTCTCAATCCTGATATCGCGCTTGCCATAGTATCGAGCAGCTTTCATCTTTGTCAAGTTGGTGTTGACTTAACGTGTGAAGACATACAACAACGATATGCCGCTGTAGTGTACAGGTGAGTTGACCATATACAAAAATACCCATGGTCTCTAATAGCCTCGGACGGGATCTGTCTGCTCGGCATCTCGCAAGCATTCTCTGGCCTGATTCGGCTATCCATATTAAGGACTTACGTAGCCAGAGACGTTGTCGCCATGCTTTGACAGGATTGTGCGGGGTTGGCGAAATGCAATTGGGCGCAAGAATCAGAAGATTTTCTACAACCTCTGACCTAGGTATTGGTCCTGCGTCGTTGGAGTGTGGTCTCGCGATACGTAGTGGTAGTCGGGATGGAGAATTGTAGATGTCGGGATGGGTGTTGATCCTACACCGAGGACACAAGTCGGGAGGCACGTACTCTCCGAGTCCGCTGGCCGTTGCGCCAAAAGCTCACCTTTTGTATTCACCTATCGTTTTGGAGTGCTTGTGTGCTCAACGAGATAAATGCTAGTCCAGGTGAAGGACAATTCCCGATACATCTCGGTGAGCAGTACTACCAACGTCGTCCTTGACCCTTTTTTAACCTGGTCCTTTTAAAAGAACCCGAGCAATCCATGTAAACTGACTCGTACTCGAATAAGTGACATAGCTCACCCTTCATCGGCTTCGACTAGAATAGAGAGAGTAACGTGAAGTAGGGGGTGACGATTAGGTGCTACGGGTCGGGAAACGCCTTGAAGCAACTACCGAAAATAAACAGACTTACCAACGATTCCTTGACGGAATCAAACGCGTATCATGGTGTCTACGATGGTAAAGGACGACGCGCGGATGGTAAAATTCTGGAAATGCCAACAGATTCCGACAAATCCAACAATGCTTTCATTCGGTTTTATGATTGACGAGGGTTCGTGTGTGCCTAGTACATACCGAGTATATAATCCCGACAGATGCGACTACTCATTCCGCTTCAGCTCGAAGATTAGCGGGTACCTGGCAAGTCTCTTTGCTGCTGCTTACTACAAGGGGAACAGTCTGCGCTCGAATCCGAGGCTTGATCGGAGGACATAAAGGCATTACGACGAGCTTCTAGAAATTCAAGGGAAAACGGATTGCCATTCTTGAAAAGAGAATACCAGATCCCGATGCCTTTCGACAAATGAATGAGCGGTGGACTCTTTTGGAAGGCAGAAAGCGATCGATGAGACCTGATAAGCAGGACTCAGGCAAATGTAAGTTCGCCTTGAATATTTCTCGTCTATTCTGGCACCCCTTAACCTTCAAACTCATCGTCATCATCGTCGTCGTCATCATCATCAAAGGCCAACCCCTGCATGCTCCGAGCACACGAGTCCTGAAAGATGGACCACCTCGGTATTTTCGCAGCGGGGAGCGGAGGACCGCTGGCATTAAGTAATGCCAGTTCCATCTGCCCGTCTGGTGTGATATATACGATCAGAAGGCTCTTCTTCCTCACGCGTATAAGGCAGAAGTTTGTCCGTGGTCGCGTCGCGCAAATTTTGTGCAGTGTTCTAATCGACCGTCCTGCATCTTCTTCAAAGATCCAATGCCGCACGTCTACCGTGTTGTCCTCATCACGCATCGCCACGTAAAGACTTTCGTCATATGCACGGAGGTTTGCCCCAAAGCAGATACGCATCCCGCCGCTTCCGTTGGCTTCATCGTCGGGAAGGTGCGACGGTGGCATGAGCGTTGCTTTAACGAGGTATGGATTTTCAAGGTTTGGATCGGCTAGGCACCAGGAAAGCTCACCGGTTGTCGCAGATTGGTATAAAATTGCAAAGTACGCTGAGTCACTGTAAGTCACATGGAGCGGACCCCCTGGGACTCCCTCAAGGTGGTGAGCTGGACGTGGTAGGACCTTCCAAGGCTCATTTCTCCGGCGCATCGCTTCGACGATATGAGAGCTACTGGACTTGGACAATGAGGGCTGTTCGAAAACGACGACGATAGCGGAATCGTTGTTGTAGGAGCAACTGGCGGCGAACTTGGTTGCAAGAGGTATCTCAAGCCCGAGTTCATGGATAGTCCCGGGTGTCCATGGCGATTTTAGCTCTGGATAAAGCTCTCCATCAAACTCTGTGAGGCTGATTGTGATGATTTGATCAGCCATAACCCCAGTCTCATTGATATAAAAGAGATGGATCTGCTTGTAAATTGAAATGTCGTCATCTGGGTTGCCGTGATCTGAGTTCCTATCATCTAAGCTACCGTCACCTGAGCAGAATGATTTTTCGTAGATGCAGCCTGCTAAGGGCGTCGATGGCTGTGCTTGCACAATAGGCTCGGGGAAGACACACTCAGCAGAGCTGCCCAATGTGTACATACCCCACCTAATCCAGCCATCGTGATCTTGAAAGAACAAAAAGGTCGTGTCTTCCGAAACAACGCCGGCTATAGACGTGTCTTCTGAGAAGTATCGACTTCGGGAAACTGCTGGCAATGGGGCGAGAATAGGTGCGGAATTTGCTATTGTATCGACAGTCTCAAGAACCCACTCCCAACCTGGAAGTTGCGCAATCACATCGAAGAGCTTCTGCGGTTGTTCTCGCTATCCTATATGTCAGCCAACTGAGCGAGCTTGGGCAAGGTGACGCCGAATTCAAACTGTACCTCTATGACACCCCACGTCATGGGATCATTGAGTGACTGTTCCCACTCTGCAACAGAAGTGAATGTTCTGGCTCCTCCGAATGTCTCGAGCGACGACCTATCAATGTTTATTGATCGATTCTCGATGGACGAGGAAGTATCCGCGCGGCCAAAAGGGAGTCTTAGAGAGGCGAAGCCTAAGCTACCTGAGGTGGTCGCAATTAGCTCCTTCTCTTTCTCGTCCATTGTCTCGCCTCGTATGGTAGTTGCAGAATAGAAGTGGCTTAGGTAGCCACCGAGGGTGATTGTTTGGGAAAACCATACGCCTGTGTATCCATTAACGTCCTGTCTGATAAGAGCTTATTTATTTGGCAGCTCATACCGTACTGAGCAACAAATCTTTGCAAATGTCCTCGACTACCGCTGGCGCGCAACACTTCAAGGTTAACTTTGCATTCAGGACTCAGCCGAGTGAATGGCTTAGCCATCATATGGATCTTCACTCTAGGGTACTATTTACAGGTCAGACACCAGACTTGTTTATCGGATGGAGTCACAAACCATTGCTTTCACCCTGAAGCCCTCATAATTCCCCGCGAGTCGATCAACGGATGTAAGCCTTGTTTGCTTCGAAAACTCGCCATTCAAGCTGAAAAGTTTGAATTTCCAAATATATGGTTCGCTAGAATAGGCACGTCAGCGCAGCTCAATGTAGCAAAATGTCAAACATAAGTGTTGATCCTACAGGGCAGCCACGGTGCTCCAATGCTGAATGCCACTGTCACTTAAGGACTTGTCGAAATTGCACTGGATTTTGAAACACCTCTTCTCGCCCGAACCCTGCACATATTCCCAGTCGGGCTTTACCCTTCGGGGGTTTGCATCAAAGGCTTGTCCAAGTCAGGAATGTATTCGACTTCGGAGATCGCTTCGTACCTGGGTGTTGGGCTTGGGAAAGGCTTGCATCACTCCGTTCGACCTTCCACCCTCTCCATATTGGCAGCGGATAGAGAATCTTGTGCCAATCCTCAGCATCCAAGTCTCGAGCATCTGAACTACATCAGTCATGCCGCAAGGAAGTCGCGATGCTATGAAATCTACCTTTATTGGCAGAAGAGATCCTGCGAGGCCATAGCCACCAATCTCTGGTAGTCCGTGCTGGTTGTGGTCGAGCGAACCGGATTGGGAAGCCGTCCTCGGGTATAGAACAAGTATTATTCATTGAGCTTCGTAAGTATCCTGGAACCAGAGATCAAAAAATAGCAAAATGTAGGGATTTATCAAGGACACAGAGGTAGAGACAGAAAGGCTGGCTGTTGAGAAGTCTAAGTGTCTGCCTGCTGCCTGCGCCCCCGGGCCACAAAGTGGTTAACAAATGGTGCGACGAATTCACCAAGTGATCTGTGACGGTCGGTGACGGGGCCACGACATCCAGATCAAATGGGTACCCGGGCACTATGATATCGCTGGGAATGAGAATGCCCACCAACTAGCGGTGGAAACGACTGCATCAGGGACGATAACTGGACAGGGCAGTACACATCTATTCCTCCTCATCAAAGACGAACTTGAGTCACTTCCTCGCTTGTCTGGCTGCATCTCGCATCACTCGTCCTTCTGATTTGGTCGCCATTCAACCCCGCGCGCGTTCGTTGCTGTTGTGTAACCTTGGCAATTGTGATCATTTCCTTTTCTGTGCCCTGTGAGGAACAAAGGACATTGGAACATGTGATGGGAGAGTTGCATCTCCGTACACCCCTAAAAATTGCAAGATGTTTATTTCAAGAACCGTTCGCAGAGCCTTGCGGACCACATACAGATACACCATGCTACCCTCCAAGGACGTGGTCGAGGTGACTGAACCCGCTTCTCATCGGGTCGACGACGAACGTGAGCAAGATGCCCCTCGGGACCACGGGATATGGAGTCGAGATCAGTCAGTGATTGTCTAGAGCTTTCTGATGAGGGCTTTCTAAGCTGACCCTACAACTGTCAAGCTTCTGCGGTGCTCTGGCCTACAATTTTGTGGGCTTCATTCTCCCAGCTCTTTACGGAACGCTTTCAAAACTATGGGTGGCCAACATGAACTCTTCCCTTGTCGTCACAGTTGATTCATATACCTATATTGGCGTTGTAGCCGAGGTGATCAATGAAGGCCTCCCTCGAGCTGCGTGGGTCATCATTGGAGACAAGTCCTCACGCTCGCTTTCATCCCGCATCGAACTCACTCAGACCCTGGTACTATTCCAAAGCATCATGGGCTTGGTTGTGAGCGTCATCATTCTTGGGGCCGCCAAACAGTTTGCCGCTGGGTTTGTCCCGGAGGAGGTTCGCAGAGCGAGCTTGACCTACGTCCGCATCAGCTCATTCTCCGTCTTTAGCGCTGCCGTGGAGGTCGCCGTCACCAATGCTGCCAGGGCGCTTGACCACCCCGATGTGCCGTTTCTCATCAGTGCGACACGCTTTGCCATCAATATCATCTTGGACTTGCTGATCATATCCCGATTTCACGTTGGGACCTCCAAACCCACCGTCAACATGCAAGCTGCAATTCGACTTGGGTGTGACTTTGCTGCGGCATTTGCTGGCCTAGCGTACTTCGCGATCATCGTCTTCAGACTGCACAGGAAAAACAGTGGCCTCCAGAGCGTCCCTGTAACACGCCCCAGCCTCAGGGCACTGAAAGTGCTTCTGAGACCTGGAATCTTGACTTTTGTCGAGTCTGCCGTAAGGAACACGTTCTATCTGTGGCTTGTCAGCAATATTGTGTCCATGGGCGCGGATTATGCGACGGCCTGGGGCATTTTCAATACCATTCGTTGGGGTCTTGTTATGGTCCCGGTCCAAACACTTGAGGCAACTTCGAATGCATTTACGGGCCACAGATGGGGTCAATGGAGGAGCGAGGTTGGGACGCAGGTGCACAGGGCCAAGGCAACCTGGAAGCAGGTTCGCGGTGAGTATTACAGTCTATCACATGCACAGAACCTATAGCTGACCTAGGACTGTTCATGTGTGTGTGTGTGTGTCTCCAGATATCACCACTCCTGCAATTAGTGCAACGGCAATTGCGCTGGCAGTTGAGGTGCCCCTCTGCATCTTTCTTTCACTCTTCGGATGCAAGCCTTTTGCGCACTATCTCTCTGACTCGGACAGCGTGGCGTCGATCACAGCCCACATGTGGCGCACGATCGACTGGTGCTACATCTTTTACGCACTCTGCACCGAGCTGGCAACAATCCTCCTAGCCACAGTGCCGAGATGGTACCTGTATCAGTCGCTGGTATCGAATATGTTGTACGTCTTACCATGGGCGATCGTTTGTCAGACTGCACATCTCAGCTCGACAGACGCTTGGAGCTATCATGCCTTTGTTTTTGGAGGAAGCTTGGTCTTCAGCTTTTTCGACGTACTGCTATTTGTGACACTATGGGTCTGGAAGCTGAGACGGGGCACACTCAACTTTGACAAGGTAAGACTTGTGTGAAAGCAGACCAAGGCGAAAGAAAGGTCAGAACAGGGGGCCATTACGTGCCCAGGTCTAGAAATACCGTGTCAAGAGTTTAATATCTGAGCGGATGTGACGTCCGACTTTATGGAACAATCTCAACACTTTTTTCACCTCTTCACCTTTCCCTTTCATTCGACGTCAGCAGCTCCTATCGCTTTGACGATCCTTCGAAGCGCCTCTTGTATGTATGGTCTTGGATGGCTAAACACGATGCGAAATAGCCCAGGAGTCTCGGCGCCAAAGACTTGCCCTGCACCCAAAAACACTCTGTTCTTCATGAGCAGTTGGGTGATTTCGGCGCTCGTCCCGTCGTCGGCTTGAGCTTCACTGGAATTTGGTCGACGTTCCGGATGTCGTTCCAGGTATGCCTTACCAAGGTCCACCCAGAGGAAAAAAGCGGCGTTGGCCCCGGGCGTATATGGGATATTGTGCTTGTCGAGAAACTCGACAACGATACTATACGAATCGGCCAGCCGGGCTTGATTCAGTTGGATATAGTTATCCACCCACGCATCGTCTTCCAGCATATTGGCCGCGATGTGCTCCGCGACAGATGACGCGTATGAATAGATTGCAACCTCCAGCAGAGCCTCGCGAAAGGCTTCGTTATACTGCGAAATAATGTACCCAACGCGGAGACCGTTGGCACCAAAGTCCTTGCTCATTCCCCACAGGACATGGACGAGGAGAGGATCGATGATGCCCTCTGGCGCAATCGACAGGACCGAGGTGAAGTCGACAGGCCGGGGAGACGAATCGTGACGGTTTTCCCAAGTAGAGAAGGCATAGATCTCGTCGCTGACGAGGTGGATCCGGTACTTTTGGCACAGGCGCATGTAGGCGACAAGGGCTTCACGGGAGTAACATCTCCCAAGCGGGTTGTGCGGCGAGCACAGCATGAGGGCTTTTGCGTGGATGCCCCGTTCTCGCGCGGTAAGAATGGCCTCTTCGTACTTGATGACAGCTTGCACGCCCATGGGATCTACCGAGCCAAACGACACCGTCAGAACCTCGACGCCAGGGCGAAGCGAGATGTCCGGGATGAAAGCGCGGTAGTACGGACGGCCGAGCAGAAAGCCATCGCCGGGGTTACAGAAGGCCCAAGAGGCATGCTCGATGGCGTGGGAGACGCCATTCGTGATGACGACGTGCTCACTCTCCAAGGGCAGCGCCGGACGCAGCCGGCGATTGAGGAACCGAGCCACAGCCCTCTGAAGCCTCTTTGATCCACGCGGCCCGTCGCCGTAGGTGAATGCTGTCTGCGGGACACGGGTGCTGGTCCGGATATAGGCTTCCAGTTCTTCGTGCATGAGGCTGTTCTCCGCCACGCCGACGTTGACAAAGCCGCCCCGGTTGGACGACGGATGCCACTGGTCGGTGTATACATGCCACAGCGGCGATTCTGGGGGTTTCGAGCACTCCTGTGCACGGCGCGAGAGCGTGGACACACCTGAGAGAGCGGCAGACATTTTGCGCAGAAAAGGGGTGTTTGGGTGAACTGTGCGTAAGGGTTAAAGTGGTAGTAGAAGGAGTCAAAAAGATCAGATGGGCACTTCAACTGGAGAATATACTTTTGTATATGTAGTTCCCCCGGTTAGCTTTACCTCTGATTTTCCTACATGGACGTGTTACGTCAATGCCAGACATGGGTTCTGTCGTTGGAGAAGTCGATGCCACCTAACGCGCCCTGTGATTGAAGGTGTAGCTTGAGCCTTTGGGAGGACACGGTTGTGTTCAAAGGCGTGCATTAACAGCGCGTATCATCTAAAGAAGACGGCTATCATGTGATTACCGAGTCAATTGATGGATCTATTCGTCGAAACACTGAGCTCTTTCTCATGTAAGAGACGCAGTCGGACTATACGCGGTTTGTGAACCGAGTATCAACCGAGCCTGAGGCCTCTGTGGACCAATCATATTCTATTGGTGCGACACTCACTGTGGCGTACTATGATTGGCCGATACCTGCCAAGTCACTAGCAGCATCATTTGTTTATCTCGCCGCCCGAATTGGTTCCCGCATTGCGGCTCATCGACTTGTATCTTCCTCTCGACTACTGACTGTCATTGACCATCCTCCTCCACGCTGCATTCAAGTCAACCCTTACTCTTCTGCCTGAAACAAGACACCCTCCTTAACACCACTCGCGAAACGACCAATTCCTCCTACCCTCACCATGGCACCAGCAAATTCTCGCAAGAGAAAATCGGACGAGATGGACGAAGGCGCCGGCGGTGCCGTCACCCCCTCCGGCAGCCCAGCGCGCAAGAGGTTGCGAATCACCCAGCAACAGAAGCAAGCATTGATGGACAACCTCCAACTCGAGAGTGAGGGCGATTGAACACCCTGCTATGTGGTGATGGTCTTTTCTGACAAACCGCCTAGTTACCGAGCGAGCGCGCCAGCTGCGAGCAGGGTATGCGCTTCAATGTGCTGACCTGAGAGCTCGTATTGAACGACGCGTCAACCGCATCCCTCTCTCCATCCGCAAGATGACCATGCGGGAGCTGATGCAACAGCATGAAGCTTCCATCGCCAAGCAGAACCAGCCTCGTACTTCACCCCCCAAACAAACACTATCCGTCCAGGTCCCTGCACCCAAACCTCTACCTCCTCTCCCACAAGAAAGTGGCTCGACCAAGCTGCCTTCTCCGGTCCGAGCTCAGCCACCGCAAGCAACCGCTACACGGGGAATTAGGAAGCGCATGAGCCCTCAAATTCAGATTGCCCTGGACAAAGTGAGCGAGGATGACCAGGCAGAGTCTGCAGCACTCGATACCCTCCCTGTGACCAAGAACACCAAGCGTGCCAAAGGAGCAGCAGCAGCCCCGACAACACGCCCTGCCTCTCGAGCTACTACAAAACAAGCACCAATCTCAGTCCTCTCTCCACGCTCCCACAACTCTCGCACACTCCCCCGCTCACCAATTAAAGATCCCTACCTGCCGGCTTCCCCGACGAAGACCATGTTCGGCCGCCCAGGCGCGACCGCCATTTCTCCCATCCGCCCGGCATCACCATTGAAATCAGCTGCGACAGCCGCAACAACGGCCATATCGGCCAGCGTGCATGGCATGATTGAGCACGCGAAACGAGGAGGCACCGCAACCGCCGCGAAGCTGACCCGGACGGCATCCAAGGAGAAGAAAGAAGCCGCCGCCCTTGCCAAGGCGCAAATGCTCCCGCCTCCGAAACCGAGTGTGCCCCCTTCTCCGCAACGTGCGTTCAGCCAGGCAAGCACCCGCAGCGTTGCGACGGATGCTTCTGCCACCTCGACCGGCACAACGGTAGTCGTCAAACCCAAGCGCGGAGGCAGACCCGCCACCGCTAAAGCCACAACCACGCAACACCCCAGGGATGTAGCGACTACAGAGAAAAAGAAGGGAGGGGTCGCGAGGGCCGCTAGCGCAGCTAAGACGGCGCTCAAGAGAAACGCCACTGCGGGCACTGGCACGGGCACGACGAGTAAGAAAGTCGTAGTGGCAGAGCCGGCAGCAGGACGGAGAGTGTTGCGCAAGAGGGCATAAAAAAGGGGAATGGGAGCAGGATGATAAATGACATTGGCAGCGCAAGCAATTACTGTTATTGGTACGAGGGTTGTGCGACCCGGGACCACAACCATGAGCGGAAAGATATGGATATTGGATCGGTATGAGCTGGCCTTCCCTCTTCGAAGGGTTGGTTTGATTGGAGTTATTGGGGCCAGGTACTATGCACGGGTATTGTTGGCTTTTGTTTTTGGGTCGTTGTGTTCATTCATTCGTTAGCCAGCGAATGATAAATTTCCAGAATGAGAGAAGAGAAGAGAAGAACGCGACATGCCTGTTCCTCAATCAAGTACTCACTCACTCCGCCAACCCGGTTCCCTATAGCGTTTCTACTCCGCGTGAGTAGCTAGCTAATCGCGTCGACATACGTGTGGGCTGTTAATTAGTTGAACAGAACGACTTAGAACTTCACGAGGTTTTCCCCGGTTTACAGTACCACCACGCTGTCTCCTCGAGCCCCCTTTGTTTGGTGTCCATTGAGAGATTCCGTGTCATTTTGTTCCTCTTCTCGTCAGTTCTTTTCTTTTCTGTGGTCTCCTCGATAAGTGGAAAAAGACCCGTGTTCGGACAATGAATGCTAAACAAGGCAATTTGGTTCCCATAGCAAAAAACACCTCAAGCTCCGAAGCTCCATACCAACAACATCGCCTTTTAACTGTTGAGTACTTTGAGTGTATTTTTCTTCTGTAAGATCATGTGCACCTTTTCCCATCTCGTCCATCTCTCCCTATCTTGTACAAAAAAGCGCACAATGTGAACGTGCCTCCCTCGGCCTTTCAGCCATGTCCATGTCACAGCAAGATCAGTAGTCCAGCTCTGCACCTCCACCTGCTTGTGCTGCCGCAGCGGCTCCGACATTGCCTCCACCACTGTTCGGCTGAGCGTCGAGATCCTCGTAGCTTTTGATACTTCGGCCTTGGGTGGCTTCTCTTGGTCCCATGGCGTTCATACCACCACCTGCGCCGTCCCCCCATTTGCCACCGCCTCCACCTCCACCCTGAGCGATGAAACCAGGTGTGAGGCCAGGAACAAGATTACCGCGCAACATGCCTCCCATATTGTTGTAGCCACGTTGACTACCGCGTTGATTTCGATCATAGGGTCCAGGTCGGTTGCCATATCGCCCACCGCCACGTCGAATAGGGCCACCACTATGTCCTCCACTTCCATTCATGCCATCCGTGTTGAAGTTGACCCCAGGTACAAGTGGGCCGTGGACATTCTGCATGCCCATCATGGCATTCTGGCCGAAACCCATCATGTTCATTCCAATATTCTGAAGGCTGAAACCCCGAGGAGTGCCGTTGTTCAGGTGATGGTTCTGAGGCAATGGAAAATGACCATTAGAGTTGGCATCCGACCGCGACGGTGCGATATGTGATGGATCCAGAACGTAGGTATTGACAAGTTGAAGCTGCGACTGTTAGTGGACTGCATCCAGTTCGTGGACAATCTGCAACTTACATCGTTCTTGAGAGCCACAAACCATTCTTCGTGTCTCTTCTCTACGTGCTTCCTCCAGAAGTGCTCAGCTTTGAACAATTTTGTGCATTCAGGGACCCGACAGCGGAATTTGGCCTCGTCCTCTTGCTTGACAAACTTCGCCAGCTCTTCGTCTAATGCTTCTTCGACGGGCTTGCCTCCAATCTTCTTGAGATCCACGTACTCGGGTTCCAGAATCTGCAGGACCTTTTCCTCAAAAGTCTTGACCCAGTTAAACGCTCGAAGAAGCTGCTGGTCGTTTTTGTTGAACTTCTGAGGTCGTCTCTCTTGGACAGGGCTAAGGGGTTCATCGTCCATGCCGTTCTCACTCCGACCATCTTTCTTCTTGCCGGGGAAAGGCTCACCAAGTGCGCTCGCCCTGGCCGCTGCCTTGGCCGCAGAGGTTAATCCAGCTCTAGGTCTTCGAAGATGACCGCCAGGGCACTTTCGTACCATTTCGTGAACTGAATCGGATTCGAAGACACAAAACAGACAGAAGTTGTAAACCCGCCGAAGATATTCGACCATGAGATCCAGCTTCTTTTTGACGACCAATAACTCTTCATCGTCCTGCTCGTCTTCTTCCTCCTCACCCTCTTCACCCTCCTCTTCGAACTTGATTTCATCATCATTGTCCTCAAAGTTTGGCTTTTTAGGTTTTGGCGGAGGCTGTAGAAGTCCTTGGTTTCTCATCTGTTCCACTCGAGCATCGATCCTCCCCAAAGCTCCAGAATGCTCATCCTTGCCAAGTTCGGCATCAAGCTTAGTGACAAGGCGTCGCGCGAGTTCATGATCGCGTTCGATTCGTTCGGGTGCTGAGAACAAGTCCCAAAGAGCTTTCTTCCTCGGGGCACTCGGTGCATTGTGGATACCAACGTGACAGGTGAAGTCGCCTCTCACCGAATCAGTGATGGTCTTACCATTGATAAGATCGAGAGCTTTTTGAGCAGGGCTGATTTTCTCCAGCTGTGGTTTCTCTTCACCCTCTTCACCGTCCTCGTCCCGGCCGTCACCCCGCTCAATGTCCTGCATAACATCACCGTCCTCTTCGGGGGCAGGATTCAACATAATCCAGCCGATACGATGGAATTTCTTGGCCGGATTGGGGTCACTCAACGATAAGCCTTTGAAACCCCCTGCCTCCTCTCCCAAATGTTCTTTGCAGAACTCCTCAATGCGGTCGCGGCCGACATTAGGCGCCAGGGTCTTGATGAGCAGAGCAGGCTGCTGAACAGAATCATCTTTGAGATCGCCGCCTTTGGCCGGGACAAGGTCTAGCACACCAAGAACTTCACCGCCGCCGACAGCCTCACCTTCTTCTTTCTCCACCATTCCACCGGCCCCGTCGCTATCATTCTTGTAGATCCCCTCGAGAGTGAATTCATCGAAAAGACCAGTTTCGAGGTCTCTGACCCATTGCTCGAAGCTGGGTTCTCGGGAGTCCATCAGACGTTTTCGGATCGGATCTCGTATCTCTGGCACGTATCGCTCTTTGAACCACTCTTCGCCTTTGTGCTGTTGGACAAATTGGCGGGCCATCTTCACCTGAAACTCCTGTTTGTACTGATCATAAGCCTGCTGGATTTGTGCTCGCTCTTTCTCGCGGTCTTCTTTGGCCTCGCGCTCGCCCTTGACACGATCTGAAGGTCGTCTGCCGCCGTGCTTAGCTCGTTCTTTCTCTTCTTTGACTTGTTGTTCAAATCGCCACCAGTCTGCAAAGAAGCTAAAACCTGCCTGTGTATCTAGAGCCAGAGGATTGGCGAGAGGATTGACCTTGACAGCAGGCTTGTTGGAGTCTTGACCTGGAACATATCGATCGATGTTTGCAGCAGTTGGCGAAGGCGCTCTTCTGCGATCATCCCGTTCTCTTGCATCTCTCGTGTCTCTTGTTTCCCTTGCCGCAGGTCTGTTGCCCTCGTAATAATCATCGCGTCCGTTGCGCTCGCGGTCTCGCTCCCTCTCTCGGTCAGGTTGATAACGATCAATAGCTACTGGGGAACGCGAACGGTTGCGAGGGGCAGGCCGACGTCGGTCGTTAGCCACTAAGCAATTCATTAGCCATGATACTACCTGGAAAGTAGCCTCGCTTACCAGGAGACCTGCGTCTGTACGAGTCGGTTCGCTCATAGGACTCATCCCTTCCACGATATCTGGGTGGCGATCTCTCGTTTGTGGGAGAGCCATAAGCCTCGTATGGATTCATGTTGTTCTGGAGCTTGGAGCCTCGCGATCAACAGTGCTTCTGCGTCTGATACCACAACGACCTAGGTGAAGCCCACCGAGGCGCTATGTCATTTGCAGGCCGAGAGCGCAGCGACAAAGGCGACAATGTCGATCAGGTGAATTCGTCTTCGATTGTCCGAGGTTTCGAGGTCAAGTAGCTAAGAGTAAACATGGCAGAGGTTAGACTTGAGTGAGGGGACAATAAATTGGAGGACGACATTGAGAAATGAGTGTAGGCCAAGGTCAAAGAAGGAAGAAAGCTCGCAGGCATTGAATGCGCCTATCTGAGGAGCAGATGATGGAGAAAAAAAAAATGCAGGCCAGCGATAATAACAGTATATAAGTGGACTCGAAGATGGACTCTAGGACTCCAAAGGTCCGAGACAATCGGGGGGACTGGAAAGGTCAAAGTAAATAGGGCCGCAGAGCGTAGCGGCGCGGAGTGAATGATGGCGCGATGGCAGGAAGAGCAGAGGTATTGAGCTTACAAGATTTGAAGCAAGGAGTTGGTTGCACGCTGGTATCGCAATGCAGCACCAAGTGCTGTTGATGGATGATGAGGAGGAGTTGAATGAACAACGAACCGCGGCGTGAAACCCTCCAGAGGCCAAACTGCGCTGGAGGCGCAGTTGGGCTGGGAAAGAGCGTGATTGGTTGCCGGGGCGGAGGAGGCGTGGGACTCACTCACGTGATATAGCTTGGCATCTCCGCCTTTGTTGGGTTGGAGCAAGCGTCTGTTTGGCTCGTTTACCACATACATACCCGTTGATGTCGAGGCTATCAGAGAATGACTGCTCCTAGATATCTTTCTATAGGTCCTTCTGTGACAGACATTCTTCTTGACCTTTAACTCCTTTTCTTGTAGCTCTTCGGCTATTCAGGTTATTCAGTCTGGGTACTGAACGATCAGGAAAATGAGACTGTGAGTGCCAGGGATTTATAGGAGGAGAACTTCGCGTTGCGTCTCTGCAAAGGCACGCTCACTGGTATGGCCATCCCTTTGGAACACGCATCAGAATCCTAGACAGAGTCGACCTGGGTCAGTGATTGTCAGAACTTGGCACCCATCCCCATCTCAAAGGTCCTGTCTGTTCCAAAAAGCCACAGAAAGACAGATAGAGGACGCCAGCCAGGTCGTGCATATCTGGGAACGGAAAGCAGTTCTCATACAGGAAATATCATTTCATAATTATCGTTCGGTTGCTGGATTGCAAATACTATGTTATATACATTGACGGTGTGTCCTGCGAGCAGATAATGCGGTGCCAGGCCAGTTGAATGGTCCCAAAAGACGAACCTCGTTCAGACATCTAAAAAAAAAGATTCTTCATTCACCGCCCCCTGCACAGTGCCATAAATAGAGATAGCGTCTTGCCCTCATACTCTCGAGGTCCTGACCAAAAGTTTCTTGCCGCCTGAGAAATAGGAATTGAATCACGAATCTGTCTTCTCAGTCTCTTGCTGGGTCTCGTGCTCATGCTTGATCGTCCATCCGTTGAGATGACCGGTCCCGGCGGTCAGGTATGATGCAAATCCCAACCATGCGAGATACGGGGCCATCAAGTATGCGGCAGTCTTGTCCACTTTGTTCCAGACATAAGTCATGTAGCCGACAGTGCCGGTCAGGGCGACCACATCGAGCATGGCCTCAATAGGTCTGCCGAGGCCGAAGAACAGAGGCATCCAAACGAGGTTCAAGCCCAGTTGTATCGTGTACAATGTTGCCCCTCTTCTTGCGTTTTCAACTGTCTGTGGACTCGGGCTTGCCAATCCGATCGTCCAGACCCGGTGAGCCGCATACCCCATGAGTATATAGAGTGCGGACCAAGCCGGGGCGTAAACCCACGGAGGGGGTCTGAAAGGAGGTTGTTTTATTGCCTTGTAGTGTTCTTGAGCGGTTCTGAACTTTCCCAGCTCTGTTGCCGCTGGGTCCGAGAATCTCTTAGGACGGAGTCTCCCAGGCTGAGAGACAAGGCCAGATCCCAAGCCCAGTCCGAGGGGTAGAAGGATCGAGACGGGGGCATTGGAGAAGATGGAGGCGGGTAGCGTAAGGCCCGGAACGTACGCCATCGCTGTAGATAGATTGTACAGGAGGTATTTCTTAGAGTTTTGTCGAGACGAAAGCCCGAAGAACGTTCAGGATGTATTTGGTATCAGTTCTGTCGTTTGCAAGAGAGTGTTCGATCAGAGAAGCTGGCGGCGACCGGCGAAAGATATCATCGACAAGTAAATAGCCATCAGGTGAGTTGAATGTTTTGGGTTGCTCATCAGGTGAGCCGAGCATCGCAGTTCTGGCGCGTGGGCTGCGCATGACGCAACTTGTACCGCGCTCCGTCCCAGCATCTTTTCCCGCAGACATCCAAAGCTTGCGATGGTCATGTTTATGCGCATTTGATATGCAATGTCAAATTAGATCCATGTATATCTACTAGCTAATGTCATTTTGCACTAATCAAAATATACCTTCACGAATGATCAAGCAAAAGCTCCCACTACCGCCATCAAGAGACCTCCTAGGCCCACGGCGAGACATGCTTCGATTCTGCGTCTGCCTTTCAGAGCCTCGTAGCTCTTTTCACTCAAGAAATCCTCCGCAATCAGCTGCACTAAGCCCGCGAAAAGTAAAAGTCCACTGGAAATCGCATTTGTGATACCGACCATCAACAGTCCCACCTTACTCGCGGGGTCATATAGCGAGTGCAAGACGATTCCCATAGCCTGACCAATGGGTGTTGTCGCGCCATACGCGAGTGCCATGAGCCAGGGTTTGGGCGAAGAAGCATCGAACAAGGTTGGTATGAGTGCCGCAATGCGCGATCCTAGGGCAAATCCTTCAAAGGTCTGGTGGAAGCAAATTGCGATGAGCAGGACGGCAAATTGCGTGCCCTGCGCGACGGAGACGGCCATGCCAATGAAAATACTGTGAAATAGAATTCCCGCTTCGAGGAGCAAGCATTGGAGGAAGAGTCGCTGGGGGTTCTCGTCATCTTTGGTAGTGAGATGATGCAAGTTATTTTCATGTTCGGAGATTTTGCGTCGGTGAGGGTTGCTCAATGTCGCAGACTCGTCCGCAACTGGATCGAGGTCGTCCAGCTCCAGATCTGAGTCGCTCGATGCCGAGTCTCGAGGTTTTGGGGATGTATCTGTGTATGGCGTCGTTGGCACTTGCAAGTGGTCCGAGGGAACATGTCCATTGCCATAGACCGACGATCTTCCTTCTCCCGAGGAATGTTCCTCCGGTACTCTCTCCCATTCATTCGCGTGACTGTGTCCTGCTCCTTTGCTTGCAAAGAACATCTCTATCCCCACCACCATGAACACGGACAACATGGCAATCAACCCGGGCATCTGCGGGTACGTCTCTGTCCAAAAGTCTGGCAGACAAGGATCGGTCATGGATATAAATGCCGTAGGGAGCAGGTGGATGAAGGCCGTCGCAATGAGGACGCCTGTGCCGAAGTGCCGGGAGAGGAAGAGGAAGCGATGTGGGATAGGGAGTTTGGGAAAGCGACGGGCGATAATGGGAAAGGAGCATGCTGTAACACGGTCAATATGGACCACTAGCTATATCAGATGGAGACTGCCTCAACTTACCGAGAGTGCTCAATGCCAGAATAAGGAAGAGGGCAAAGACATGGATGCCGGTGTTGTAGGCACCTCGTCTTCCCACTGTGCCGCACGCCGGCTTCGCGGGCGCATCTTGTCGTCTCTGTAGTTCTGCATGGAGGAGCTCGAGGGGTAGTCCGCTCAACGATGATGGCCCACGGTCATCTGATAGCATTTGTCAGTTCTTGGGTTGTTCGCGGTCGGTACATTCGGGAGCAGGAATAAACAACGAACCTCGAGCGATGAGCCCATGAGACTCGGGAAACATCACTAGTGTGCTGTTTTGGTGTGACCGTAGGATTGGCCATAAATGCCGTGAGGAATGACACTGTTGAGAGGTGTTACACGTCGTCGCGTTTGCCCTGACGCTGCGACCCCTCAGAAAAGATCCGAAGATCCCTTACTCGTAGGTACAGATCTCCCGTCTCTGAAAGTCTGGTCTGGCGGGACCAATTCCCTACTTTCCGACTCGCCGAGTTCTGCTCGCGCCTCATCCCGAATAGGGACAACGGTGACGCCGCCAATTCTGGTCAGTGGTGCTATAACGGGTCTAGGGCCTTGGCACCATCTCGGCGGGTTATGCGGGCTACTTATCCCCTGGTATGTTTCCGTGCATCCTCTATATTCACTGTCGCACCCTATCCAGACGGAGTATTTGACATCACCATGAAGGGGAAATACATGATACATTTACGTTCTTATGATTTCGAATTCCGTCTCAGAGAGCTTTCCACTGGATTTGTCCGAATGATTGAGAACTAGCGCCGTTAACCCACCGCTGCTGAGCAGGACGAGCTCGTCTAGCGTTTGCTTAGATGGCGAGATATAAACCTACCACGATCTTGGTATGTATCGCGTATACACAGACACATCTCTCCACAATGGGTGAAAAAATGGCCGGTGTAATGAGAAAAGACACCACTCTGGCTGCCTTCAATTCCTCTCAAATGCTCCTAAATGCTCCTAAATGTTCCTAGGGCTATACCTCTCACGAAGTTGTTGACGGGATGATGAAGTAACCACGTCGATGGAATTACCGATGCTCTTCGGCAATCAACTTGTTCAGGAATCCATTCCAAAGGCACCAACGGAGTATGCAACAAATAGTTATCCGAGGTGGTCAGACTCGAGGCTAATGATACCGTTTATTCTATCCGTTCACAACAAGTTCGGCGGCCTCACGGTTCCGGCCGGGAGCTGGGCTCGACTTGTCCGTCAGGCCGAAGGTCGGCCGCTGAGTTGAAGCCGCCTCTATCCGAGCAAGGAGGCTGGCCCTGGCTGCCAGGATTGTGTATGCATGCAAATCTGTCTGCCAGCGTCTGGTCAAAACATTGTGTGTTACATATAAAGAAAACTTGACCGAGGTCTGATTCGAATGGAAGCTCTGCTTTAGAGACAACAGCCAACCCACCAGAGACCTCGCCAAACCCCGACCATCCCTTTCTGCGTGGCCGAAACGACAAATCTCAACCAGACGTCGCAGTGTGTAGATTTCTCGACGGAGATGAACGATGTCCGAAAGGCTCGTCCCTCATTACAGGCCTCGAGGCTGAGGAACTTGATGCTCCAGGCGGCGCAAGATGAGACCCAAATCGTGCCTATGGCCTGTAGCTACGACGCCCTTAGCTCGAAATTGACCCAGGATGCTGGATTTCCCGTGGTGTTTTTGTCCGGCTTTGTCGTCGCAGCGTCGCTTGGGCTTCCGGACACCGGGTATATCGCGTTCGGCGAAATGACGCAAAAGATCGCCGAGGTTGTGCGGCAAGTCGACGTTCCCATCCTCGTGGACGGGGACACGGGGTACGGAGGGCCGATGAATGTGAAAAGGACGGTTCAAGGGTATGTGCGCCTCGCGTCGCCTCGCCTCTCTTTTCGTATGGGGGGACACAAAACTGGCCTAGCTGAACCGCATATCCTCCAGGTTTGCACTTGCCGGAGCGGCCGGAATCATGATTGAGGACCAGACTTGGCCCAAACGTAGGATTTCCTCCCCCCCTGAAAAGTTCATCAGGTAAAACAGCAGACCCTGACATGAACGAGCCAGGCTGCGGACACTCTCAAGGCAAGACGGTTGTTCCAGAAGACGAGGCGTATGCGCGGATACAAGCGGCCGTGGACGCGCGGAACGAGGGTCTCGACATTTGGATCCTGGGAAGAACCGATAGCCTGATCCTCGGCTATGACGAAGCGGTCAAAAGAGCCAGGCGATTCATCGAGATCGGCGTGGATGCCGTATTCGTCGAGGCAGTGCCGGACCGGGCCATGATGAAGCGGCTGGTGCAAGACCTCCAGTTCCCGTGCATGGTCAACATCATACCAGGGGGGTGCACCGAGGTCGTCTCCACCAAGGACCTCGCTGCCATGGGATACGCGTGCGTGGTGTATCCGTTTGCGTTGATCGCAGCCAAGATCAAGGCGGTCCGACAGGCGCTGCAAGATCTCAAGGCCTCTTTCGAGTCGGGAAACCCCCCAGATACTCTCGACGCGAATGAAGTCTTCGAAGCCGTGGGGTTTCCACAGTATTATGCCGAGGAGGGCCGATACCAGTATAATGGCGTGACGAACAGGCGCAAAGAACAGTAATCGAAACAGCTGATTTAGATATATTTAGATAATCGTCCCTCCTAGAATCCAGTCTCCTTTTGTCATGCCACCATCCAACTGAGTCAGTCGGCTGCTGTCGTACGACCAATCAAATCACGGACGCGTCTAGGTCAAGGGAGATGAGTCCCGAAAAGAAGGACTTGATGCATTTACGAGCTGAAAGTGGAATAGTGTACACCAATTTCGTCACACAAAGTTCTCGTTCATCAAGGAAACAGCTCTCCATATTGGTTCTCCATGGGCAGATTCCACAAGAAGTCAAGAGAGTCGAGCTCGAGGCCCGAGGAGACGAAATTGCCCGAAGAGCTGAAGGGGGCGATGCTCTTGTCGAACGGTCGGGCCCACCAGTCCGCGCATCCGGGCGATGTCATGTCGAGGTTCTCCGTGACCGCTGCTGACGCTAGATCGACCTGGTTCTGAGTGGCATGTACGTGTAAAAGACCTGAAGGTTCCCCAGCCGCGCCTATTTCGTGGCAACTCGACCGGCTTTCGTCGTGGTTGGTTTGGTTGTGGTGGTGGTGGTGGTGGTGTTCGCTATTGTTGATATTGTTGCTGGCATGGCGCATTCCCCCGATCAACGACTCTCTCAGCCTGGCCACTCGCTTCTCGATCAGCGTGGTAAACCTGGCCGAGAAATCCATGTCATCAATGGGAGACGACCTCAAGGCCACAATACAGTCGTCCAGAATGTCCAGGGACGCCTGGATCGCGATGCTCCCCGAACCGATACTGATAGCTTTGAGGAGGAAGATAGCAGCCGAGATGAAACAGAGCGACTGTCGGACAGGCATGTATCGCAGGTTGCCAGACAGGGCCATTTTAGTGGCTGTTTTGAGAATCTCGCTGGCCCCGTCGACAACCTCCTGCAAGAAGACGTAGTCGGAGCTCGAGAAGCACGCCGATGTAATGTTCGTCTGGAGAGGATCCGTACCGTGCATCCCGCGAGCCAAACCTCTTTCCACGATGGCCTGCATCGACAGGGCGTGGGTATAGACTCGCAAGTTTTGGAATTCCATCAGTAGAAGGTCTCGTAGCGACTGAGGGAGACCTAGCAAAGTAGAAGGCAATTAGTTTTCCGCTAGCCGACATCGTTGGGTCGACCTACTGTTCGAGTATGTTGCAAACTTTTCTTGCCAGCGCGTCAGAGACGGCCGAAAATGGTCTAACAGAATGGTGTAATGCCCGGTCAAGAGCTGTTTCTGGGTCGACGCGGGTGACTCGAAGAATAACACAGAGGCTGTCTTGATCAGGCGGACCAGCTCTAGCCAGCAGTCCATAAAGAAATCCCAGTCCTTTGCTAGAGGATCGTCGCTGGACAGAGTAGAGTTGGCTTGGGTAGCAGAGATGGAATTCTCGGGGAGCTGAGTTGGACAACTGAGCCGAACCGAGAGGTTGGTCAGGTAAACGTAAAGCAACTTGGTCGTTCGTATGGACCTGGCCTGGACCTTGGGATCCAATATTTCAATGACGGGACCGTCAGAAAAGAGTCCTGATTTATAGGCCAGGGTCGTCGCGATACCGAGCAGCATCCACGAAAAGTGGTCCGACTGTTTGGAGGGTTCGAGGATGTCTTCTCGCCAGCGGATCAGATGGGAGTCCGAACGCGAGGTGCCGTAGGGCTGGTTGGGTTGATGGCTTGGACACAGATCGCCGCTGGTCTCGTCTTCGGGAGGAAAGTCGGCGTATCGAGGATGCCAGTCGGTAATCAAAAGACAGCTGTCGATGATGCTGAGGACTGACATTCTTTTGGCCGAGTGGGTTCCGCGTCCGAGAACGACCTGCTCAAGGAAACCTCTGCAGCACTGCCACAATCTCTGGTGAATCATGTAGCTGCGCACGACACCTCCAGCACCGGGCAAGACAAAGAAGCGTGACGAGATCATGAGGATCGTTGTACACAGCATCGGCTCTTCCGTGATCAGTCTTTGATGGGTCGAGTGGTTTTGAAACTCCGACATGAGCACCGGACTCATTGGAGAGAGGTACTTGAAAAACCTAGGGCGCATATCAGGATACTATGTTAGGGAGGGGAGCGTAGATGGGTTAAGCGCGTACAGATCGACAAGCGTGACGGCTTCTTGTGCAAGGAGCCAACGTTGCCGGACGAGGCTATATCGGCTCCAGGCCTCTAGAGTCTTGTCCTCAACAGTTGATAGTCGAGATACCCCAGGCGCCAAAGGGGGATGGATGGTGTCCAGATCTAAGTGGCCATGGACGAATGGGTTGGCCTGCTCTGTGAAGCCAGCCTGCGGGTTGGAGCACTCGCTGCTTGCGCTGCTCGAATTGGTCGTCACATCTTCAAGTCCGGTGGCTGAGTCGGCCGGAAACGGCGTGCCCAATACATCCACGGATTTGGGTACGATCATGATTTTGGACATGGCACGCTCCATCAAAGACGGTCGAGGACTAGCGGATTGGTGGCCAACGTTGCTGCTGCACCCTTTGTCTCTGGTCGTCGAGGGCTGCGCAGGATCCCTCTCCTCAGTCAGGCCCACAGATGCCGGGGTGCTGTTGGCCACCAATTCGGGTTCGTGGCTCTTTTCCACCCACCGAGGAGGCTGCCGCTGTCGACCCGTCTTATATTCGCTCTTAAAGACGCATTCTCGATGCTCACGGCGGCATTTGGCGCAGGGAGGCTCCCCGTCGAGATCGCATTTTACTTTGCGGGAACGACAACGCAAACATGCCACGTAGCTTCGTTTGTAGGGGACCCCCTTTGGCCTTCCATTCTTTGTCGTGGGTTTCTGGCTCTGGTCCTTCTGTCCCACAGTCACATTGGACCCGTACCCTGGGGATCTCGCAGAAGACATCGAAGAAGTCACGCTGATGGGGTGATAGAAGTATTTGCTCTACCCACGCACACGCTTCAGTTGTTTGTGTTATGCTCGATCGTCACATGCGGACAAGGTATCTTGCCTTGAATCCAGGAGAGCCCCGAAACCGGAACACCCTTGTTCTGGTACCCCGCAAAATGTGTGCCTGTATCGGCTGTGGTCAGGGGAGGGTGGGGGTGTCCCCCGTATTCCAGTCTCACCGGGGAGGCGATATCCTGTTTTTCCGTACAGCCGTGGACACCAAGAAGGTCTAAACCATACAAAGGCCACGCTATATGACTGGCAAATACAAGGCTCCTAGGTATTTACCCTAAGACTTTCTTGACAATATTGTCAACGTTATTGGGTGCTTGTTCGAACCTTACAACCGAGCCGATGCTTACTAGTCTATTAATGGCTAGTTCATTATCCATGAGAGGCATAGCGCACAGATCTCCCGCTCCTATAGTCGAATTAGGACTAGGCTTTCTCGAGGCTATCTGTACAGTACTGGTGTTGAACTAGCCCAATTTCTAACGCCGCCGCGTCAAATGGAGGAAAGCATGTGTGATGAGAAGGTTCATTCCTCTGAGTGAGCTACCGCGAAGAATTCTACACGTTGAACAACAGTACACGAGACATGGATTCCATCTAAGATACCTCCCAACAGCATCTCAGCATCACGTTCTGGTATAGGATGATCAATCCAACGGAAGTGGCTCCTGGTAACAAGTTTAGATAAATGAATTCCATGCTTACTGATAGGATTGCTTCGCTCCTTGTTCAAGGCACTTGCTGACCATCCCTTACTAAAATACAACGACACCTTTATGGTTACCAACGTTACATCCATCAGTGTATGAGACCTCCCTCAGCACGCGCTCCTCGGCAGCGAGAACCCCCACAGCCTCTTCGACTCCTCCAATGCATCTGCGATGCCGTCCCAACGTAGTATGAACATGTGAGTGATGCTTTTATACGGTCTCCCAACACAACCCCATCATCATGTCTCCTTGGTCCGGTCGCTCGCACCGCGGATCAAATGGCTGAGATCACTCACAGGCAACGAGAGCGGAAAGTCCACCGCAACCAACAACTGGATCACAAGCAAGTACCACCCGAGGAGACTGGTGACAAAGGTGATGGCCCCGGCGGCTACCAGGAGGTTATTAGCGTCGATGCCCTGCGACGCTTTCCAGAAATAGCCAGTCAAGCAGCCAAAGGCCGGGACGAGGGTGGCAAAGATGGAGACAAAGACGATATTAGTCCTGAGCGAGCAGAACAGATAGATAAGGCACAGAAGACCCATGTAGAGGTGAAAGTAGCCGAATGTTGCCGTGAACATAGGATTCGACGCCGCGGTGGCCGGGTCATCGGGTTGATAGGCGATCGAAGCGTTGTAGAAAGGCGTCAAGGTCGCGGCGAATGTGAGCCAGAAGGCGCCAAATGAGGCAAAGACGACGCAAGGGAACGTATTTCCCAGGATCAACTCGAAGACACAGCCGATAATCATAAGGAGGCCTCCAAAGAAGTAGTATGCTCCTCTATACGCGGGACGTGACGTGAGCAAATCCGAACCACGAAGACCAGACCCAGACCAAAACTCACACTTCAGCGGCGCCCAATCCTCCTGCGCCCCTCCACCCCATCAGCACGTTGGACAAGGGGGTGACGCACAATAAGAAGCCGACGAGGCAGCTAGGGATACCAGTCAGCAAACAACTACAATAACACCACGGTCCAAGGTTCGCTCACAGAGGTGTGGGATTCCCAAACGTCGAGCGGATGTTGTTTGACACGCGGTTTTTGGGCGTCAAGTATATCTTCTCAAACAGCTCGGCGCTGATTGAAACGCTACCCGCCGTGCGGATGGTGTTCAACGCATGGTCAGGGTCGTGCCGGTCGTGATGGAGGTCGTGCGTGTCAGACACGACGCCGTTGTGCAGGGGCACGTCCCGACTGTTGTTCTCCAAGTCTGCGGATTTGGCCATGATGTGAGGAATTCAACTAGAACGAGTGACTGATACACCCGTCAAGAGAATTTTGGGGGGAGTAGTACATGAACCTCAATTCGCCAGGTCTGACATACACGAGAAGGTCCTATATTTATAGCGATGGATCTGTACCACCTTTCAAATTGGGATGATATTGCAGACACCTTCTCAGACCCAGTCGACTAGGGATTCATGGTCCCCTGACGAGTAGAAGACGAACAAGAAATTCCAACACAGCTTCTATTGCTCGTTCATCCGCGACAATAAAGTTGTCGGAATACTAGCCCCTACCTGCCCTTGTGGTGCTGACATCGAGTCGAAGCCGTACAATTCACATCCCTTTTTTGTGCAACATATGCTGTCCACCGCGTGAACCTAGGGCGGCACTAGCGAGATTGGAACTAAGCCCAGCGCTCGGTGCTGCCACTAGTGGCGCCATGGCTATCGTCGTGGTCGATCGTTCATGCGAGGCCGAAGTTGATCGGGCCGGCCTATGGTCTCCGGGGCGGATAATCGCGGCCCAATTTGCAGAGTCAATCCTATTCGAGGGTGGCGAGGGTGTCGCTTTCGAATGAGGAGCTACCAATCGCAGTATTCGGCCAAGTCCTCGACGTGCGGAGAAGCAATGTACGAGGTTTTGTGTAGCGACCAGGGTAATGTGGTTGACGGGTATGTTTGCATTAATGGGAACAACAAGACACCAGGGCATCCTGATTTTACAGGAGACCGATGTCATAATGCCCAGATCGAACCTGATCCGAGCGAATCTGTCTACTTCTTACTACCCAGTAAGCTAAAGCTCAGCCGGTCGGTTGACATCTTCTAGAAGGAGGTTCGAATGCGAGTTCTGTGTTTCTAGCCGCCTGTTTGATGTTCTTTTTTTGTACTCTAATCTGTTGTGTGTGATCAACATCTGTGACAGCAAGCAGCAGAACATGGGTTTCGATTCCAATCCGCAATTCTAGTCAATAGACATGTTGACAGACTTGATCTGCGTAAAGGCAAGCAGCTCGTCCAGACACTCCTCTCTTCCCAATCCCGATTGCTTATATCCTCCAAATGGCACATTGACATAATGCAACGCCACGCGGTTCACCCAGACGTAGCCGACTTCGAATTTCTTGACGGCCCTGTGCGCAGTGGCCAGGTTCTGGGTGAAGACGCAGGCGGTCAAGCCGTAGTCGGTGTCGTTGACAACCTTGAAGAGCTCGTCCTCGTCCTTCCACTTGAAGACGCCCATGATGGGGCCAAACACCTCTTCCCTGGCCAGCCGCATGTGTGGCTTGAGATCAGCGAAGATGGTCGGCTCGAAGAAAAAGCCCGTCAGATGGGCGGGCTGTTTTCCGCCTGTGACCAGCCGAGCGCCTTCGGCCAGAGCATCCTCACAGAAGCCCTTGACCCGATCCAGAGCGACGCGCGAGATCACGGGGCCCATGGTGGTCTTGTCGTCCAACGGGTCACCCGGCACGAATTGCTTCTTGACTTGGGCGGCCACTCGGGCTAGGACCTCGTCATGGATGGACTCGTGCAGGAACACACGCGACGTCGAGCCGCACGACTGGCCGGCCCAGGAAAAGTTCATACCCTTTGTGACACCCTCGACGAGCTTGTCGATATCGGCGTCTGGATAGGCCACGAACGCATTTTTCCCGCCCAGCTCGAAGATCACGGGTTTCAACGTGTCGGCAGCGCCCTTGTATACGGCTTTGCCGGTGGCGACGCTGCCGATCAGCGTGACCATACTGACCAACGGGTGCGTCGAGAGCGTGACGCTGGCCTCTAACCCACCCGGGAGGAACGAGAGAACGCCGGGTGGGAATACACCTTCGAGAATTTCTGCCAGGTACAAGGCCGACAAGGGCGCCTGCACAGGAGGCTTCATGATGACTGTGTTCCCCGCAGCCAGGGGGGCAGCCAGCTTTTGGGCCGTGAACATGGCCGGGTGGTTATAGGCCACCAGCCTCACCACCACTCCTCGCGGTTCACGCAACGTGTAGTGGAAGGCGTCCGAGGCCTGAGGGATAGTCTCGCCCTTAACCATCGGGATCAGACCGGCAAAATAGTCCAAGGCGTTGGCGGCGGTCAAGGCATCTGGGACCATCATATTCACCGGGTTGCCCGTGTTGGCGGCGTCTAGCATAGCCAGTTCCTTAGCATGCGAGCGGACAATGGAAGCTGCCTTGCGCAACAACTCCGCTCTTGTCGCTGGGTGGACGTCTCGCCATGCCGGGAAGGCGGCGTGGGCGGCCTTGATGGCAGCTTCGGCGTCAGCAGCTGTGGCCTGAGCCACTCGAGTGATCACCTCGCCGGTCCCTGGGTTGTAGGTGTCAAGGTATGCTTCCGGCGTCTCTGGCTCATGCCATGCTCCTCCGTAATACAGCGAGAAATGCTTGGGCAGCACCTTGGCAACATGAGACGGAAGGCCGACCATGATTTATTGCTTTCCTCGCTGGTAGATTTCAATGGAATAGGAGCTAAAAGAGGACGCAGATGAACCCCAATGTATATCTTGGGGTCCGGCGAACAAGTTTGTCTGGTATCCATGACCGTTCCTCGGTTAATACATGGGGGGAAATAAACGCAACGAACGACGGACGGCAAGCCAAAAGCCTGCGCCAAATCAAGTCGTGAGTGGCACACTAGCTTCCAGCTCTGGGAGTTGAGCCCGCGCAATGTCGGATAAAGGCGGCATGTCACGATTGTAAGTTACTCTAGGTCAACGGCAAGATACTGTACGGAGTAAGTTAAGGTTGTGGAGGTGGAGAGTTCCAAAAAGCGGGGGATGGAGAATGTTGCTGGTCTAGCCCCGTTGGGAATGCTAGCCGGCTTAGTTTTCACATTGGAACGTCAAGTTTGGTTCCCTGGTCTCTCCCCCCCCCCCCCCCCCAATAGGTACCTCGACTGATCCTATACAGCGGCAAGCAACGAGGCTCACTGCCTCACCGTCCAAGCCCGAGGCGGATAACTTCGGCTTGTGTCTATTGGTTCCTGTCTTGGTAACGAAATCTTCTCCTCTCCTCAAGAAGAATACGAGATGGAGATTGACAGTGTCTTGGGCAACCCTTCGGCTGTTAAACTCCGTACTCACTTGGAACTCACGTCCGCTGCGAGACAGTAGACTCCCCGTCTTCGGCGGACTGGCTTCATCTGTCCCCCGCAATGCGATAAAAGGACACGGCCCTTGTCGTCGAGTCCGTCCCAGATAATTTAGATCTCTTGTTGTAAGTTTCTTCAGAATCCATCTCTGAATCCCAATCCATTGATCAACCCGGATCTTTCTACCTCCCTATCTTCGTCTTGGCCGTCGTCGAAACCATGTCTTTCGTCAACAGCCTCCCCAGTACTGGAGAAGTCTACGATGTTGTCGTGGTCGGCAGTGGCTTTGCGGTATAGATCCATACGAGCACCGGACAAGAGGTTTGATTTTGGAGCCTGATTCTAATCTTATGTGTAGGGTTCTACCACAACCCTTCGCTTCCTCGAGGAGTGTGAGAGACTCGGGAAGTCTGGCAAGATCGCCTTGATCGAAGCCGGCAAGGAAGGAGAACGATGTGGTGCTAGCAGGTAATCAGATTGATCGATTTGTTCTTTGCCTTCCAGTAATCGTCTCTGACGAAAAAGTCTAGATGGACACAAGCAGTCCTTCGACTCACAGACGGTGACACGGCTCATCTTATCCAAACTGGAGCCTCAAAGCACTGACCATCTCTGCAGATAATGTCTTTGACCCAAATTGGAAACACGTTATGAAGGCAAGTATCGATCTCGGTCCGTCTTGACCTGCCTGACTAACCATCTGTCTCAGCGCGTCAGGTAAATAGATCCTTCGATTCCCAAGGTGGGGTTTACGGGACTTATTTTCCTGCACAGCGGCGGGCTTGCAGACCAAGCATACTGCGAGAAATTGGAGAAGGAGGCCCCGATCTCGGTCGACTACCTCAAGGAGCGTAAGTTAGGACATAGCCGGAAATTCATCAGATAGACCTTGTGAGGACTGATCTCTGGACCGTACAGGCGGCGTCAAACTGCACCATCACTACGAAGAGAATCTCTTGGTCCAGTTTAGCACCCGTGAGTCCTCACCTCCCATTATCTGAGTCGGCCATAGATTTCCGGAACTAACGAGCCTTTGTCACTCACCCGCAGGCCAGCACTTCTGCTATCCCATTGGCGGTGGACATGCAATCATCAACGCCCTCTTCGATCACATTCGAAAGTACCCCAATGTCAAGGTCTTGTGGGAGACGACGGCTGAACATCTCCTGCAAACCGAGCAAGGCGAGGTTTGTGGAGTGCGAGTCCGACAGCCTGATGGAAAGCTATCCAAGGTCTTCGGGAAGAAGGTGATGCTTGCTTGTGGAGGCTTCGAGGGCAGCAAAGACCTGTATGCCCTTTTCTTGCGGTGTGACCATTCATATCCACCTTCACATACTCATTCGATCTCAGGATGGCCCAATTTGTCGGCCCGCGTGTCGAACATCTCCCCGTCATCGCACCAGGGTTGAAATACAACACGGGGTTCGGCCTGAAAATGGGCATGGAAGTCGGTGCGTACAGCTACATCGGCTTTGGCTTTGGGATGCCGATTGACCATATTTGCTTGCAGGTGCCCAAGTTGCGGGATCCATGAACGGCCTTCATGTGAGTAGTGACACTCCTTCATCCCAGGGACCAGGACTGTCCAACTGACGCAAAGATAACACAGTGTGAGATGGTTGACTCTCGAACCACCAAGCCCGATGCTGTCATCTGGGGCCACAACTTTGGTATCGTGGTCAACAGGTAGGCCGACCGCTTCCTTGGCCACGGGGAAAGGGAATCCGGATGGCACACAAGGCTGACGACACCTTCATCAGAGACTGCAAACGCTTCTATGACGAGGGCAAAGACTCGTATGTTACCCTTAGACATCATCTGGCAATTACCATGCAGTCCCGACTGACATTTGCAGACTCTTTGCCACCTTTGAGATGATTGCTCTGGAGGTTTGGAGAGGTATGGCATCAGACATCCCTTGACCTGGCATGTGTTCTGACATTGTCTTTTGGGACATTAAGACCAAGACCAAGAGGCCTACTTGTACGTGTTTTTCTTCTTCCTCTTGAGCTGGTCCAGAGTTCTGTATCCATTGGCTAATCCGGACCTTAGTATCACCGACAAGCCCATCATGGACCGTTTTCGACCAGGCTGGGTCAGTTCACCAACTTCCTTCGCCTCCACCTCCCACCTCCCACCTCCTCATCACTAGCCAAAAGGTCACTCAACTGATCATACATTTGTGAGTGTTTAGGTATTCGAGACCACTGACCTGGAACCCGAATCGAGCGACACGATTGAAGGACTAGCCGAGAAACTCGGAATCAATCCCAAAGCACTCAAGAAGACCGTCGACGAGTTCAACGCGGCGTGAGTTGTTTCCCCCTCAAAAATCCATGGTGTGATTTTTGATATGATTTGACTGATCACATTTCCGCTGACCTTTGGGGACGTCTCTCCCAACGTATAATAGGATCAACGATGCGCCTCTGGATCTGCTCAAGCACGATGGAAAGTCGACGCGAGGGTATGTGAATCATTTGTGTCGCCTGCCACCACCACCACCACCACCACTGACGCTCGGGAATCTATTATAGCTTGACGCCCGAAAAGTCCAACTGGGCCGCTCCCATCAAAGTCGCTCCCTTTTACGGCTTCCCCCTCAAAGCCAACGTCACCTTCACCTTTGGCGGGCTCAAGACCGACCTCGACAGCCGCGTCATCTCCATCAGCGGAGCCCCGATTCCCAACCTGTACTGTACAGGCGAACTCTCTGGAGTCTGTAAGCTTTTTCTTTCCGGGATGGACAAAATCCCAAGCGTGATCCATGGGTAATTGGGTCTCATTGCTGACCATGTGCTCTTCTCTGCTACATAGTCTACAACGAATATCCCGGGGCGGTGGTAAGTAATTCTATTCTATCCTATCCTATCGTCGGTATCTTGTGTCGACCAGCACCTCTGAACTCTTTTGGGGTCCCATTCGGGGTCTTTTTTGGATCTTTTCAACTGACAAAACTCCGTGGTGATCAAACAGTCTGTCTTGCGGTCACTTACCTTTGGCCGTCTTGCGGGCCAAAAATTTGCCCAGGATCTCTAGGCGGACCAGCTGGACGCAACAAAAGGGTACTGGGGTTGGTAGAAGTAGGGAAGAAGGGGGAAGGAAGGCAAAGCTGTGAGTGGGCATGGGCACATGTGCATTCAATAGACGTGGTCTCAGGCACCTATATAAAAGAAAAGCCAAGCCACCTCTTCTTCGCGTCGTCCAAAGATCTTCTCCTTAATCAGGTCTAAAACCCCCCAAAAATCTCGGCTTCGTGTCCACCATTTCCCTCATGAAATTGCGCTGCCCAGCCTTCTCATGCATAGTATCGCCGGTCAGGCTGCAAGAGCCATGCATCTAGGTAGGCCCGAAACTAGGCTGCCGTCCCACCCTTTCCAGTGCAGTCTCAAGGTGATACCGGTTGATTACAGGCGTTCCTCTTCTCCCCTAGGCTCCAGTGCTCTTATTTCACGGCATTCTTCGCCATTGTCTCAGTCAGCCACTGGCTGATGAACTGCTGAATCTCCTTGTTGTTCTTCTCAATGGCCAAGAGATGTCCGTTGCCGCGTATGCCCCGATCTGCCAGATATACATGTGTGACAGGCACACCGGCATCGTGGAAAAACTGGACGGTGTGGTGATCGTACGTGGCGTGGTACGACGCCTCAGCCGTCACCACGACGATGGGGATGGAAGCCAGGTTGGGCAGCTTCGGTGCGGGGGCCTTCAGCCGGGCTCCTGGTACATGGTCCTTGTTGTCGTGAGTCTCGGTCGAGTCTCGTGTGAACTCCAGACTTTTTGTGCCGTCTGGCAGAGGAGGGTCGTAGGTCAGTGGAGTTGATGTGATTCCAAAGGGACGCACAAAAGCCCCCGGCTGGACAGCTTGCGTCCTGGTGTAGAATTTGGGCATACCGGGGTAGATGAACGGCGGCCCGTTCGGCTCCAAAGCCACAATCCCTTTGACCAAGTCCGGACACTCGTCCGCGATATGCCACCCTATAAGACCTGATTGTGAATGCGTCACTAGAAAGGCTGGCCCAGTACGAGACAGGAGGTCTTTGGCAAAAGGACGAAAGGCCCGCTCCACATTTCGATATTTTGCAATGTGTCCGACCTGGCTGGCATAGAAGGCGTCGAAAAAGGCATCTCCTCTCTTGCCGGTGCCTGGCCACTGAGCAAGCAGCTTGGCCTGGGGGTATGAATCATGCGGAGGCGAAGTGAAGCATTCTTCCAATTCCTCGACCGTGTAGTGGGTGAGTTCTCCCAGGTCATGGGCATGATATCGTGACCTTCCCACACCCGGTTGGTCGACGACATAGCATTCCCAGCCTTCCTGGGCTTGAAGCAAGGCGATTCCAGGTCGACCATCAGGCGTGGACTCCCAGTGAGTGCCCGTCTGCGCGGCTCCATGGATGTAGATGATGGCCGGTCGGTCATCGACTTTCTTTCCAAAGCGTCGCACGCAGACCTGTCCCGTCATATGGGTGCCTCGATCATCCTCGATGTATTTACCCCCAACGTAAAACACCTCGCAGAGGTCGGTTAGCGTCTGGGTATGTTCCATTGCGGCGGACATGTAGAGATGACTATGGGTAAGCCCCGTTCTTGTAGAGTCAACGTATCTCTCGTCTGGAGAACAGGTGGTCGCCTTGCGCGATCTACAATCGGTCACTTGCCGGTCGGCAGATGCTCGCTGTCCCACAGTTCTGTCCCCATTCTCGGTAGTTTCGGCGACGTTTCCGAATCGTGGGTGAAGGCAGAGCTCTGGCTGGGTGAGAGTAGTCGATGAATGAGAAGGCACGATCACAGGAATTGATACAGTGGGCTGATGGAAGCGAAGTTCCACCGCGCGTTTCTCCTGCGACAAATATGGCCTGAGTCGTGAATTGCTGGTCGCATCCTTGATCTTCCAGGGACCTCCATCGTGATCTTCCTCGTCCGAGTATCGGCAAAGATGTTGCTACTTCGAAAGGCACCTAGCTCTTCCCTGTATTCCTGCTCTTATCCCTTCCGATGTGTCATGTCATCCCCCAGTGCAACTTCGTGATCATGCCAATACCTCAAAATCTCCAATGAGTTGTTGTCAGGCGAGGCACGTGGGATGGAGATGCCCTTGATCGCCTCCGCAGGTTTCCATGAAGTTTCTCGGACTTCATCACGGGCAGCGCAAGAAGGTGGCGGTGAAAGATCAAAGACTGAGTCGAGTTGAGGAACAGAGGGTTACAAAAGGATGTGATGTGCAGCATTTTCTCGGAGCGAGGGTCATGTCGAGCTATCTGCGCATATACAGATAACAAAGGGCACATTATCCAGTATCTTCGGCACAATGAAACATCAGGCTTTCTTAACGCCCATCATCTTCGCGTGTGTACACCATGTGAATGGCCAACAGGCATCTCCTCGAGAACCCACAAACTTCACCTTGACAGGGCACATCACGCCAGACGAGATCTTCAGCTTTGTCTACGTGCCCTTCAATGTCTCCGCCGATGTGACGTCCATCTCGGTGCTGCAGAACTACTCGTTCAAGGGCGCAGGGAACTCACTCGACCTGGGTGTCTTCGATCCTCACGGTGTTGCTCCCATCGACAGCGAGACCGGCTTCTCCGGCTCACGGGGCTGGTCGGGAGGGTTCAGAAACAACTTCACTATCTCTGCAATCGATGCCACCCCAGGATATGTAAGTTCTGCAAACCACATGAGGCAGAAGAGATGAAGGACGACTTATCCTCCATTCCCTTGACAGCCACGGGCTTCTGATCTAATGTGACTTGAGTTAGAATGCCGGACCTCTGCTCCCAGGAACATGGAACGTAGTGCTAGGCCCATACGCAACCAATCGCTCGGGCATTGACTGGACACTGGACATCTCCCTCTCTTATTCCGCCATTGACTCACCAGCGTGGACTCCTTCGCTAGCTCCCATCTCCAAGGAGCCACTCCCCTCGCCCTGGAAATGGCTCCGAGGTGATTTTCACATGCACACCATCTACTCGGACGGACGGTACCTGCCTAGTGAGCAGATCGCGCACGCCATCTTGTACAACCTCGACTTCATCTTCTTCTCCGAACACAACACGGACTCCGGGAACAACAACATCGGTCGCTGGATTCCGGCGAATGCGTCGAATCTCCTCATCGGCCGGGCAATCGAAGTCACTACGCGCCATGGCCACTGGCAAGCGATAGGACTCGAACGGTCTCAACAGGTAGAGTGGAGGTATACCAACTCCTCGAACGATACGGGTTTCATCCATGCCGCAACTCAAGTGCGCAATTCCGGAGGCCTGGTTTCGGTCAACCACCCATTTCAAAACTGCTCAAGGTGCGACTGGACCTTGGACTGGGAACACAACGATGCGATCGAGGTCTGGAACGGCAGGTTTGATCCGTTGGATGAAGTGGCCGTCCAGTTTTGGCAGGGCGAACTCGTCAAGGGGAAGAGGCCCACCGCAATCGGAGGAAGTGACGCGCACAGTCCACCGGATATCAATGGCTTGCCCACCACCGTTGTGAGGGTCACGGGGGAGAGGAGCCAAGCAAGTATCGTCGAAGGCGTGAAGAATGGCCGGGTGTACTTGGTTGAAGGCCCCGGGATGGAGATCGACTTTGGAGTGGTCTATGGAAGTGGGAGGAGAGCAGAGATCGGTGATGCCGTCTCTAAGGAGGATTTGGGTGCCGATGTATACGCGAGCTTCTCGTCTACCGGGTTTGAAGGTGCGCATGCTTGTTTTGTCTCCGAAAAGGGGTATTTCCAGAACGTGTCGATCGTGAGTGAGCAAAGGATCCAGCAGAATGTGGCCGGCATGGACTTTATCAGAGTCGAGATCCGCAATGGGTCTGATGCATTGCTCGGCTTGACGAACCCGGTCTACCTCCAGTAAAGTCAAGAGAATCCCATGATACAGGAGTTCGCTGCTTCCGTGGTATTTTTCATCTGCGATAGCAACAAGTAGCAGACCAATCAGGGGATATCGCGTGATTTTGCAGTCGACAAAGTGGCATGCACCATCCCCCCGGACTCGATCTGCGAGGAACGTCGCCGTGATAAAAATATCCTCCTGCATTTCGTTAGCGAGAGTGGCTTGATCAACTCAATTCGCTGGTTGAAGGTTCAATCAAATGTGGAGTTTCCAGAAAATCAATTCTTGCATTCGTTGCACAGCATGCCTATGTCTTGTCGTCGTAACGCTAGGTAAAGGTACTTTTTCCACCGGTCTGTGTGGGTATGTTTGCTGTGCTGTTCTCTCCAGACCGTTTTCCGGTTGTATGTAGACGGGTAAGCCTCAGAGGCGCCCCTTTTACTTGGAAGGGATACCTTCGGCAGCCTTGGCCACCTCATCTGCAATCTTCTCCTTCTCGCTGTCTCCCAGCTCGTCTCTTCCCTCTTCGAACACTTTGTCAAAATCGTACTCGCCCCATCTGATGTTGGGGTTCAACCCAGCAAATTTCCATTCCCCATCGATCTTCTTGTACCAGTGCATGTTGCTGCTGTGTGCGTGTCCCTTGACGAGGACCTTGGTGCGGGTGGCATCCGTGTATTTTTGATGGGGAACACGGAGCTGATGGTACCCAATGATCTCAGTGTCCGAGACCTTTTCCCAATTGCTGGCGCCACAGAAGTGCTGGGTCATCAAGCGCGGGTCACCAAGCACTTTGGGATCGGAGATCATGGCGATGAAATCGTCAGCCGGCATAGCTTCCCAGAGCTTGTTCAAGAAGGAGCGGTAGTCAATGCGAACGGTAGGGGCGACGATTTTGCGCAGGCGAGCCCAATCCTAGAATGAGACAGCCGTGAGTAAGATGGCGTTGCGAGGGAACCGGGTGTCAGGGAGAGGCCACTCACTTTGGAATCATAGCTCTCCGCCCACTCCCAGTAGGCGTTCAAGCAGCCTTGGTAGTCTATTGCGCTCAAGAGGAGACGACGGTCAGCATCGATAACACAAGGAAAGATCCAGTCGAGAGAAGGCTGAGATTCGCCCCTCCATTGGAGTCGCGGGCACGTATATCACTCACCTTCAAAAGAAATCAGCTTGTCCTTTGACGCCATGATGAAAAGCAGCAGTATGAACTGGACAAAAAGGTTGGGAAAGAAGAGGGTCGCGTGAGAGTAGGATTAAGAGCAATGAGAGAGAGGGAGGGAGGAGAGAGATATAGTGGGAGCAGGAGGAGCAGGAGGGAGAGGGAGCGGGTTTGTTTCTTGTCCGCATCTAAATAATTGCACACCGCCCCTTTGGTGCCGTTTCTCATGTATGATTTCGCCTTGGGTTATTTATTTCCACCGTTCACACGTGCGTCGAACCCACACCAACCTCACCTGTCTGAACCTAGCGTCACCAGCCTGTGCAACGGCTGGCCTATCTCAGGGGCGCCAGGACCAGCTGTTCCTGAGCAACCCATGCACGAAGCGGCGCTAAGGCGGACATTGGAGCGCGGGGCGGTAGAGGTTTGTGGTACCAGTGGGTGCTTGGGCGTGTCTCTAGGGGTGCTAGGAGTGCGAGGCGGTGCTAAGAGGGGTATTTCAGGGAGAGATAGGGAGTTAGTGCGCGGGGTCCGGTGCCTAAAGAACCCGTGACTTTTCACTTATCGGAGCGGGGCGCAGCCATTTTGAAGGCAAGCAACTGGACTTGCTGCGACTTTGCAACATACGGAATACCGATCAGTCTATCTCAAGCAATAGCCAATGCCTCGTCCGCGCCGGAGTCCATATTCCTCCTCGCCGTTCGACCTTCAAACAGCCCAACAACAGAGACCAGATAAATGAAGGTGTGACTTGGCTGATTGACTGATTGTCAAGGCATGGCGACGAGGCTGAGGAGGTGCGAACCCTTACAACCTTGACATATCTTGCAGCCTCACACCCCAGTTTGCTGACCTATGCTGCGTTTGAGTAGATGAGCGAGTCGTTCATCTAAAGGCGCGATTCCCTGCTAAGGCAAGGCATCTCATGTTCATCCACTCTCGTCCACTCTTGATGACGGTTGTACCAACTCCGAGACGGTCTCAAAAATCGACAAGCCAGGCCCGTCTCAACATTCTTGAGCATCCCACCACATGTCAAGCGCCCCTTATTGTCCTCTGGTAGCCTCAGCAGGCTCAGTGCCACCTGCTCGTAATCACCAAAGAAAGGGTGTCCGCGAATGTCGTCTTGGCTGCTCTTGACTAGCCCATGGCCGAGTGTGACACAAATTTGACCTCCGATTTGGATCGCGTGGCCGTCAGGGTCGAAGCACGGGCCGAGGAACATTGAGTAGACACTGCCCTTGAATGTCACACTGCTTTCGGCCACATCGTTGGGAAATCGCCATTGTCCTTGGTATTTGATTGGATGCCATGGGGTGACCAGCAACTCGCCCACGCGGCACAGCGTCTGCGCCTGGCCATGGACTCTCGTCTTCAGAACTGCACCCACCATTCGTGGCCCTTTGGGCGTCCATACCAGCATCCCTGTTTTGATGTCCTTGATTGGCTGCTTTGTCGTTCCATCCCCCATCAGAACAGAACAATTGCCTTCAAAGCAAGGTGCCGAAGACGAGTTGTAGCTGTTCATACTGACATTTCGGT